CTTTAATATGGCAAGGGAGACTGTTAAATTCCATCGCGCCTGTAAAATAAAAAGATTTCTTGGCGACCTCAAGGTCGACTTTTGGAAGATGAATGTCATTACAGCGTCTGGTCGCAAATGTGTGTACAGAAGTATTTAAATTCAATAGTTATTCAGATAAGGCGGTACTGAGTCGTCAAGGCATTTTCTAGCTAACAAGACAATTTGAAGTTTTCGTCTATTAATCAAGGGTACTAGACCCAAAGTAGCATTCAGCTCTTTAGTATCGAGACCAGAATTTGGAAAAATTAACTTTGCAGCTCTATGTTGTAAGCTTTCTAGTACATCAGAATTAACTTTACTACAGCCGTGACAGGCCACATCTCAGTAATCAAAAACATGTAAAATCATCGTCTTATAAAGGCGTTCAGCAGCAGCCATGGGAATAGAAATTCTCAAACGCCTAAAAAAAACCAATTTCCTTGACTGAGACCTTATTGACCACGTGCTCAATATGGTTGTTAAAACTCAAGTGCTGATCAATTACAACGCCAAGATATTTGAAAGACTCGGATTTTGTCAAGGAAGATCCATTGCAGGATAAGCTTATACTAATCATGTAAAGAAAGAGAAAGTAATGGGACCATTATTTCTGTTTGTAAAGCAATGACTAACAGATTGTTTCGCCTTGCCAGCACTATGGGATGTAATAAATTTTAACACTCGGGTTATGGTACTTTACGTACTGAAGCTTAAAGCAATTAACGCATTTCTAAGTTAAGTATTTTTTTTTTTCATCTATCACACATTTTTTCTTTTGGGTGTCTCAAGCCTGTTTCAGTTCCAGTCTCCCCTGAGCGAAGGCCAGCCACAGAGACGGTTGGCAGGATTTCCAAATTTAACTAAGCCTCTGTGGTTCGCAATGATATCACTGAATGTTGATATTTTTACCAAAGACTACCCCCATCTTGTCGTCACGATATACTGGGGAGAATGCGTTGACGGGTATCTTAATCAAAGAATCCTGTTCATTTGGAGAGCACTTAATGGCGCATCATGTTTTTCTCAAGTACTTCCCAAAATTAGAAATGCTTTTGCTAGAGTCGAAGGTTAACAAGGTTTCTAGTGGCTTCAAATTAGTTTGCGGTATCTTATAAATTCCGGGTATGAATCGCTTTAATACTACTTTCTTATGAGGAATTCACTGTAATGGAGAAAGGAACGTCCCAGAATAACTAAGCGATGATTTGAAGGCTGATGATGTAAAGGGAGTGGTTAAAATCACTTCGTGGGAAGTGACCCCTCCGGGAGCTATTAAGGTACGTAGAAGGGATGAGCATAACACATGAAGAAGGGGCGTTTGTTTATTGAGATACGATCACGAAATAATGCTCTGCTTCCTTAAGGGGTTCGTTTAAAATTATCGATACTTTCTTCCTTCCTCCGTGTCGAAAAAAAAATATTGTTCTCGATGAGATAGAGTTTGTTTTTCTGGACTAATTTGATTAGTAAAGGTATGCCGGCTTTGTCAGATCTCTTAAAATGTCACTTTGACGTCTGAGCGAAGATTCTCATTCCTTGAAAAGATAAAAAATAAAAAAAATAAAAATAAAAAAAAACAATTTGAAATATTACCAATCGCCCATATAGTCAAAACATAGAAGTGCTCTTTCAAATAAACATTCAGAGATGAAGTTCATTAGCATTTTAAGTATGTGTTTGAATTAGTCTGGTTCATGAAATAGCTTTGTGGATGGTTGGCATGGGTAGTAAATAGATCAATAAAAATCTAATAACCTGTTAGAAAAATCTAGAATTTTCTCCGTGAGGTAGCGAGCGCGAATGTCCAGTTGGAAACAATTAAGAAAATATTTTTATCAATGCCGCATACAATACTAAGAAAAGATATTGCCTTTTGCGTCGACATATTACAAAGGACTGTGAATTTTAAACATTTCAGCTCACTATTATAATTTTCCCATTTTACATCGACACAGCATTACATATGGAAATTTACTTTTGTGTTGCCTAAAGGGAACTCACGGAAGCAGAAACTCTGTTTTTCCGGCAAAAAGTCTTCCTCAAGGATGTTGTGGTGAGTTTCTTTCTTAGACTTTCTGAATGTGCTCTTCTTGTGGAAGGATTGGTATAGCAGAAACATATGGAAGAGAATTTTGGTATCGTCCGATAGTGTCTATATGTTATATTATTATTTCAACGACTAATACATTTAAGCCAACATGACATGTTTATCTAGAAAATACCGTATCATCTTCTTTGTCGAGATGTAATGTCATGCCCACACATTGATATTCAGCGTGAGCCCAAGTTTGGCTTAAACTTATCGAAAAGGAACAGGCGGAGACGATTAAGCTTGCTACAGTGGCCAGTCACTCGCTCGATTGATGGAATTGCGGCCTGAAATGAAACGTATTTATCAACAGAAGACGTTTAATTGAATAAATTTCGTATCAAGAAATGCGATAGGCGTCTGCAAATGTGAAAGCGATGGAAACCATGGCGTTCGTTGAAAGAAGTACGTATTAATTTCATAAAAGGTTTTGACCTAATTAGCTGGATACATCTGAGAATTTCAAATATTATTAGCTCTTCCATCTCGCTGGAGCTATCTGATTTCTGGCAAGTGATATATTTTTTAACAAAGTTCAAAATTTCTTCATTAGAATTTTTTCCATACTGTGGGGCTTCTTTTACCCAAAATAAACTATGGATATGTGGGCTACCTCTTTGCTGAAATTCAACTCTGTAGTAATAATCAGCTATTTCTCCTATTGGAATTACGCTGCTCTTTAAGACATCACGAATAAATAAGTGGACCTTGTGCTCATATGCGAAGCTTAGTGCATTTGTATGCATATAATCTACAGCAACGAAATCGCGTAAAATTTGCTAAAATTGGGAAGTTGAGAACGTTAGAATAAAAGTATTCAATAATTGTGTGTGCTTTGTCAAATCCAGCGAGGTTCCAGCTCCATGTGAACACTACAACCTTTGAAGAAAACGAAGATCGTTGCGAGAAAATCTGCTATCGTGGATCGAGCTGAACAATCACTGAGAAGGTACTGAGCTACTGTATGGAAAAATCAAAGTGGTAATACTTATTTTCATGGACTGTTGCAGATACAAATCTCTCTTCACAGACACAACTCAATCTGAAGACCACATCCCGGGAGGTAAACTAGATAAACGCAAAACAAAAAAAATTGTTTCAATGGGAACACTTGGAGCGTTGGTTGCGATCCAAAACCACGGGTTTTCAGATCCGAATGACACTTTTTACTGCTTCTAAAGCCAGAAAATTGTTTCACATAATTAGAAAATGAAATTTTTAGCCTTAAGGCGAATTTGATCGCCCCGTGAATTTCTTGGGGGAAAACTCGAGAGCTGCTTTTTAAGTTTTTTCAGAGCTAAATTTTGAGTCCGAAGGTTCTACACCAGGCAATTGGTCAAGGTAGATGCTTCTTTCGACTAAGTGCTCGAGCATTTGAGAAAAAAAATTACAGTATCTGATTTCTGAGAAAAAAGGTTAAATTGAGATTACTTTTGATGGTTTCAGTTAATTCATTAGGGAGGTTTGTGAATTGAATACAGAAGATGCTGAGTTCCTGGTTAAGAATCGTACTTTTTAATTGAATATTATGTATGAATCACGCTGAAAGAAATTTTGGCTGATAATGTTGTTATTTTTCTAGCCACTAGTGAGTTCCACTTTTTTTTAATTACATAAAAACATTTTCTTTGACATTCTGCTCTTCACATGTGTTTTGATTTTTAATCTATAGCCTTGAATATATAGTGCTTTCTTAGTACACCGAGACTTAACATAGAAGGGTCTATGCAACGTACTGGCAGCCAATGAAATCACATATGTATTGTACCAAAAGCTCTTTCACGTAATGGATTTTAAAATTGCTTTCATGTTTCAGATTTGTGGCACAGGATCTTTGTAAATATTAGATGCAATCTGTAATGTTGGTATATTCTCTACGAAATTTGATTCATTACCTCATAGTTAATAGAGGAGACAATATTCTATGGTGCTAATATTATTTTCCATTGTCCAATGGACGTCTTTGTTAAACCTTTTTGACGCTTGGATTCCAAATGTACGCTAAATGGAGAATCTGTTGTTCTAAAATCGATAGTATTGAAATTCAATTTCTGACAGTTTTCCGTGAATTTTGAAGACCGTTACAAAAACGATTACCAATATTTTAAAATGAACTATGTAAAAGGAAAGCTACAAAACAAAATAAAAACAATTCCTACATTTTTTTTTTAAGCGTAACGTGTCGGTTTTTGTTTTGTTTTGGTTTTTTTTCCGCTGAAAATTTACATCCTTTTAGCCTAAAAGTAATATATTCAAATTAAGAACCTCTCTGTGCACCGCTACCTAGCAACTGCGTGCGCTTCTGCTTAGGTCATATTCACTTGAATTAAAGGAACTACGACAAGACTACGATTGTCCAGGATTATAATCTACATCCCTTTCATCTTTCTGACTTGTACTGCGAAGGTTGTGTTGTGTATGCGCGGACCAAATCAAACAGAATTTATTTGAAGCTCTCAAAAGGTGAGCCCATTCATGCGTTAATTGCACTTCCGTAGTTTACAAAAATAAAAACGCCTGGAAAGCGTTGTTTCATGTCGGCCCCTTTGCCTAAGTCATTTCTACATCAAGGCAAAGTGCGTCCGTCTGTGAACTGGTTCGTCGGGAGACCTGGAATAAAGCTACTGAACTAAGGTTATACATCATTACTGTTTTGACATACAAGGTCGTCGAGGAGTGTTTATTGAAAGCAGAAACAGATTGAAAAGATATCAACGTCTCGGTAAAAGTGGGGTATTCAATTTGCTTTATTTTATGACAGATCTTCTTAGTGTCCTCTAAACTACATAGATCACCAGCTAGCGACGCGAATTTAAAACGCATATAGTCATGATAACCGCAGACACCTTTCGAATATTTTCATCTAAAGTCAAAATGAGGGCAACCTATTAATTTTTTTTCACTAAGAGGTCGCCAAGTTTATTACGCATCTATGCATTATAGACGTGAGCGGGCGAAGAAATGACACTCGTATGGCAAATAATTATATTAATGGCTTTTCGGTTCCCTTATTTTGGTTTATGGGCAGTTAAGCCAAAACACGTGTGGTCGCTTTTTACTAAGACGCTACCTGCTCAAGGGCATTTGATATTCGAGGATTTCATTGTCTCTACGGGATGCTTTCATAAACATCACATTGTTTTATTTTATGAGCAACTGGATTTTGAACCTTCAGAATTGGTATGTACAAGATTGTACTTTGCACATAATAAACTATCGTGGTGTTTGTTCACGAGACGTTTTCTATCACAATACAAAGATATGGCAATAAAGTCCTTCATCGTAGCGTCGCATTTTTGTGTTGCCTCGAGGGTTTAAATCCGTAATTGACCTACGCTCGATGAAACAGTGTTAGCGATCGCTGACGTCAACTCGTCGTTTCTGAATAATCGCAACAGAAAGTGAAGGAAAACAAAATCGTGATTGCTGAAATGAAAGCACACAGGAAACATATTCTACGCGATAAGACTTCGACACCTTACGTATTGCAGAGCGAATTGTTTGTTTACTTCGGACACTGAATGCGGAGAATGCGTGGAAAATTGGATGAATAAATCAGAATTTCCGTCCTAAACTTTGTTATGTGTCATGCGAATTAAAACTTATCTATTGTATGAAGTTTTTACTAAGCCTTGTTGATACTTTTGCGAACGTAAATGCAATATCAGATGTTTTAGGCTTTAGACGCGCAATTAGTCGCAGTGAATTCTGACAAGCCGGTTGCTTTGCAGATACGAGGCTAAGGTGCCTTATTGACAAAGGCACTTCAAGGTGATTGGATGGCCTGAGCTATCAGTAATTACAGCCTAGATGCCGTGGGAGATACAATGACACGTGACTAACACCTAAAACAATCAAGGAAATCATTAAGAGAGCGCCGAAAGTTTGACACAGAGGGGCTGAACTTGTGAAGCGCAACAAAAATATGGTAAGATTTCCTTGCTCCCGCTTTCAAAGATCGCTTAAGTTATCTGTGTTGCGTGTTACTAAACGCATCTTTGTTTCGCTCACAGTATGGATTCATTCATTGCGCTCTGGCGGACTTGGTGGTTTCTAAGTTTGGCGAAGACGTATGGCGATCTATCGTGTAAGAAGACATTAATAGTTTTTGAAACGCCTAAATGGGTTGCAAGTGAAAGAGGCCGCTCTGCAGTGCAATTATGTTCTTTCTGTTTCTTCTTTCAGCGAGAAGGCTGGGGTGGAATTAGACGGCGGATCATACCTAATTCACAAAATTTATGATGATGAAGAAACTCTGAGTTTGGTCGCTGCGGCTTGCGAGACTCTGGGTATGCAATATAGTGAACTGTTCAGCTTGTATTTTATTTATTACAAAAATGTTTTTCTATAGACAGAGGTCTTATGGGCTGATATATATCGTAAATCCTATTTAAGAACATTCTTTCCAGTCTTAACTAAGGTTATCGCAAATGTAATTCTATCGCGCGAGATATTTTAAAATAAAAAAAGTTAAAATTTGCTTCGTTGACTTGTTTCAGCTTTACCCCTGAACGCTGTTTTGGAAGCTTTTGGCTCACATTTTCTGGATTACTGTCTGCAGACCGGCTATGATCGGATTCTGAAAGTGCTGGGGAGGAATCTGAGAGATTTTTTATGTAACTTGGACGCGCTCCATGATCATCTCGCTACGATTTACCCAGGTATGGAAGCACCGTCTTTTCGCTGTACCGAGACTCCTGATGGAACACTGCTCCTACACTATTACTCACGGAGACAAGGTTTGGAACACATCGTTATCGGAGTCGTTAAAGCAGTAGCGAATAAAATGCTTGACACCGAGGTGGAAGTGTGTGTGCAGCAAGCGCGATCCGACGATCGCGGACATGTCATATTTGCAATCAGAGAGACAGGCTGCAAAAATGCAACGCAATCAAAACTTGGGCTACAGGCGTTTGATTTAGAAACCATGGTAGATAATCACAGTGCGGAGCTGTCCTCGGATGGCGAAAACATGGACAAGAAGCGGCGAGGAGGGCTCAGTTTGTTGTCATTCTGCAAAGCTTTCCCATTTCACGTGATGTTCGATCATAAACTTAACATCACGCAAACTGGGGTTGCCATGATGCGCCTTCTGAGCAAACGGTTTACAACCGGCAGTGCCTTCTCGTTCACGGAAATTTTCGAACTGTCAAGACCGCGTATGGAATTTTCGTTTGATTCTGTTCTTGCGCACATAAATACAGTTTTTATTGTGACAGTAAAACAGTCCGCGCTGCGATTTGCGGCGGATACAATGTCCAACGAGTCAGACGGTCGAGAAGATCAGAGAATGATCCTTACAAATCCATTACTACGCCTCAAGGGTCAGATGATTTATGTTCCAACGAACGACAGCATTCTATTTTTGTGCTCCCCTCGGGCAAACGACTTAGACAATTTTAAGAACCTGGGTATTTTTTTCAATGATATACCAGTTCACGATGCAACGCGTGACCTCATTTTCATGTCACAGGCAAGAAGAGCCGAGCGAGAATTGGTGGAAAAGTTAGAGGAAACTAGCAACGACCTGAAGAAACTGGAGGTAAAGCTCACGGAAAACAAAAAACGCACAGACGAATTGCTGCATTCTATTCTGCCCCAAGAAGTCGCGGCTAAACTGCGGTTAAATCAACCGGTGCCCGCGGAAAACTACAAGCTGGTTACTATACTTTTCAGCGACATCGTCGGGTTTACAGCGCTATGTTCCGACGACAAAATTGTTCCCATGGACATCGTTCGGATGCTGAACAAGCTTTACACCTACTTTGACATGTTGAGTGGGATGAACGATGTTTACAAGGTAAGAATAATAACCTTATTTTTTTCCTTTTAAATCTGCTTTTGTGTTTGTGGGAGAGAAGGTTGTTTGTGATTGACAAGTGTTTACCAAAACGCTGGAACACTAAGCCTGCGTCTTTTTTCACCGTTGGTGGCTTTGCTGTTTAAAATAACCCTTCGAACTCGGTTCATCTCCTTTAGCGGGCTTATATTTTATTAGCGATGACAACTCTGATCTCGATGAATCTCACGCCTCGCATATAACTGTCACGAGGACACGAAGATAATATTTCTTTCAAATTCTATAACTTCTTCAAACAACCGACTGTTTTCATTGTTCGCGCATTTCTATGGACGCTTCAACAGCACAAATCTGTCACTTTTGTTCCTTCATTATCTGAATTTTATCGATAAAAATCTTAATTTTTATTTCTTTTCGCTTTAGTATCAATAATTCATATTGAAAGGTTTACCGCGGAATTCATTTTCATCGACACAATTTTCAATCTCTCATCATTTCTATTTTGTGTTCAAACTTTTTATGTAAATATCACCTCCCCTGATATTTGAATTCTCTGACAGTCTCACTTCTTTGAAACGCTTTTGAGACTTCCTGAATGAACGGGTTTTATTTATCATCTATCTTCGGATATGACCCCACGCAACATATTTCATCTTCACAGTAAACGTATATTTTGATAAAGGTTGTAGTGGCTCTTAGCTTAGTTTGCAACGGCCGAAAAAATGATTTTTTCGATTGGACTTCTTTTGCAATTTCGACCCCGGATATTTCCACCATAACAAAATTGTTTATTTGCTTCTAAGAGGAAAGCAGAAAAATTAAAGGCTTAAGTTGAAAAACATAACGAAGCATGCTCATGCGGAATTTGCCGGAGAACGTTTTGAATAGCAATACGTAAATACGAGGAAATGTTTCAGATTTTCCACTTACGAAATTTCTAGAGGCTAGTGGAAACGCTACACTGGAGATCGAGTGTTAAAAAGTTACCTTATTGCCCTCCAAATGCCAACCTTTGTTTTTGTGGGTTTTTTTTTTCAATAAAGTAGTAACTTATCATCAGGTTTTTAATGTCTACAAAATTTACACTAAAAACTCCAAAATAACTTTTTTGTCATCAGTTATTTTGACTATCGTCGAAGGAATAATATTTTTACCCTTCAAATTAATAACGCTATTTCTGTGTATGATAGTCTAATCATGGTTAGCGGTAATGAAAAATAATGTGTTTTCCATCTTTATCGAAATAATGTTTGAGATCAATATTATCACCGCAGACATTGTCAAGTTTTGTCGAATCTGCGAATTGTCTCCTTGATAGATTTATCATTTTTTTGCTAATATGTGCGAAGTTTTCACGCCTATCAGAAAACTTCTCATTTTTTAATTTCAATTTGTGGGAGTGTCAAAGAAAAAAAGGGGTTCAGTCTCAAGCAGTTTTTTCTGTTTATTTTTAGTTTGCAGTTTAAATTATGAATTTTGCATGAACTGACAAAATTTATAGATTATTCATAAGCGAAGTGACAGGGTATTTCTTAAGGAGTTTGAAGTGAATCCATAGTTGAAATGTTCTCGCATGGAGTATAAAACGCTTGGGAATAATCCAAGGAGAAAGATTCAAGTTTTCTAAAGAGAAACGAAAAAACAAAAATAACATAGATAGATGAACAGATTCTCCCTCGCGTGTTTCTGCGTTTTGGTGCTATTTTTAATTTTAAAAAACAGATTACCTGCTGTCCTCGAGCAATTTTTATGTGTTTATAGGTAATTCTTTATTTGAACATCTTATCATTGTGGTTTTTACGGAAACATCGAAAGTTGGCTGCAAGCTGTTAAGAGAGAAGAAAAGGAGTTCTGAGAGATTTAAATTAACCTCAGTAATTATAACACTCTGAGAAGAAGGATTTTTGCAAGATACAAAATCCGTATTTAGAATTAACTGTATCATTTATCTGATCCAATAAAGTCATCATTTCGGACCTCTTTAGGTTCATAGCCGCTTTTTATCAAAGTCATCTCATCATGAGATGCGGTGTTTTGGAGTGAATTTGCATTCGTTGATTGCTAGGATTCTTTCCGTAGCTTTCGAACGAAAATTGATCGTTACTCACACTTTGAGTAAAGAAGAATGACGAAACACTATTTAAACTACAAATTGACTTACATAATCTTACAGCATCTCACTTTCTATCTATCTTCTATAGTCAAAATCGCTTAAAAGTGTTTCGTGAAAATGGCGTTTTTTTATCAAGAAAGTGCCTTATTTACAATTTATGTCTTGAAGTTTCTGGCGTGTTTCATTGTTTCGTCTGTAAACCAAAAGGAAAAAAGAAAACTGCTTAACTCAGCTATATTTAGTTTGGCAAAAAAAGGACAAGGAAAATTGGATAAACATTTAAAATTTATCTTCGTAATCTACCGCCCCTTCCCTAATATCCTTTCAAGATTAATTTTGAATTTTTTTTTTACCCTTAGGATCAGCCGAAACTAGAATTGAATTTTGCTTTTATCCAGTCACTGTTATAATACCAACCAAATTTAAATAATTCATTTTGACTTAAAAAGCAACAAAGCGGTTCTTTCTCCATGGATGATCGATGTTTGGACTAAAAACGTTTAAAAACATTGTCTTTGAAACAGCATTTATTTCAATTTTTCTTTTCCACACAGGTGTTGGGAATAAGGACTGTTCCCTTCGTACACTTTGCTGTATATATCATAACGAATTTCAACCGGTTTTTTTTATTTTTTCGTACTTTCGTGTTTAGTATTGTTTTTTATTTTGGTTTCGTTCTGTGCATTAGATTTTTTGAGAGATCGCTCAAAGAAGATCGTTTTCTTAGGAACGTTGTTTCCCTCCAGAAATGTATAAGATTAGGGTTTGAATGTGCTTTTTCTTTCAGCTTCCTTCTCTTAGCAGTTATCAAAGCAAGAGTTGTTATGTATTCATTCTCCTACTTTCTTCTTCACATCACATAGGTGGAGACAATTGGCGACGCTTACATGGTTGTCGGGGGTCTACCAAAGCCATGTGATAATCATGCAGAGAGGGTGGCCCACATGGCATGCTCGATGATGGAAGCTTCTCGAAAGGTTTTGTCGCCTGTTGACAAATCTCCTCTTAAGGTACTAGATGTGAATTGCTCTAAACACACATACGATAATTCAAGGGACAGATCTTTGGTTTCTTGAGCGGTCCCGAGAAAAGAAGAGACACCATTACACCATCTCGCATTTTAAAGAGCGCGAAATGAGTGTAGAACAAGTACGCATGGGTAATGGAAAGTGACAGGAAAGGGTGGGATGGAAAAAAATTTGAAAAGGCGACCCCACTACCTTTCTTTTTTACTGGTTTCTACCGACTAGGAGCCTGTCATAGGTTACATAACCAGTGTTAAAAGTCATTATTGTATGGCTGTGTCTCACAAGGACTGGGAACTACCGAATTCACGAATTTGATTGGCTGAAATCAATAGTGAAAGCGATCTAGATTCTCCCATCTAGAACGGCATCTAGACCGGTCTAGAAAAAAAAGGTACAAAGAATATAAAAAATTGGCATATAAGACACAGCCATACAATAAACATCTTATTAACCGAGCTAGGTCGGTCTGTATGGGAGAATCTTGACCTCGGTCGCTGGTACAGACCTCACTGCGTTCGGTCTGTACTGGCGACCTTGGTCAAGATTTTCCCATACAGACCTCCCGCTCGGTTAATAAGAACTAAGTAATTGAGTTCGATGGAAGGTGGGGGAGAGCGAACAAGGGTTTGAGGGTGTACTGCGTCTAAATGTCTGTGTATCCTTCCCTACCTACCCCTCCCCCCTTCCCTGTGTTCATTCCCGCAGCAATGCCAGTCAGCAAATCGTGGTAACTAAGATTACTCTGGGAATGTTTATTTCTTTGGCAGATTCGAATCGGAATTCACAGTGGGTCAGTTATGGCTGGAGTTGTTGGCAAAATGATGCCCCGCTACTGTTTGTTTGGAAGCACTGTCACACTGGCAAACAAGATGGAATCGGGAAGTAAACCAGGATACATTAACGTCAGCTACGAGACTAAACGGTGAGTAGCAATAAGAGCTTACTAACATAGCAGCAAAGGGACGATTAAACCTGTAATGGGAATCATGTTGTTTATTGAATTATAAGATTTACGATACTTAAAAATAAGGCAATTTCTGAATGATTGACCCTCTGACGGATGCATTGACGGACAAACTGGTTGTTTGGTTGGCTGCCTGACGGACTAACCAGCCGGCTGACTGAATGGGTGATGGATTGGTTGACTGACTGAGCGACTGACTGACAAAGTGCCTGAATGACTGACTGACTGACTGACTGACTGACTGACTGAGGGATTGACTGACTGACTGATCACTTACTGACTGACTGACTGCCTGGCTGACTTACTTGCTAGCTTACTGACTGGTTGACTGACTGACTGACCGACTGACTGACCGACTGACTTTCAGCTCGGTAGCTGACTGGGTTGACTATAGCTAGCTGGCCGGCTGACTGACTCATTGACCAACCAACCGGCTCTCTGATTGATCAATTGACTTATTCATTGATTGATTCATTGACTGAAGCACTGATTGATTGTGTAATCTTCTGAGAAGACACAATATTCGTCGTGGACTCGTGCACTCAAAATTCTCAGCTATAACTGCTTTTTTTTTTTCTTTTTGCGCAGCTTTCTCAAAGGTTCCTCTGAATTCGAGTTCATTCCCAACAATGAGATCCCCAACCCCCTCCCATGCTTCTTCCTGATCAGAAGCAAGAACGCCAAACAACAGCCGTCCATTCTGGATATCGCGGCATCCGTTGCACCAAACAACATCTGCATGTTTCGGTCCCCGAGGACCTCTCCGACGCACTCTCCAGCGATAAAGCGAAGAAGTGATACAGGACCGGCCGCTTACCGCAATAGCTCTCCGGACGGCCCACCCCAGCGAAGAATCAGCTCGGTTGATTTTGCCTCTTCGGTAAACGAAAGGCTGGAGATGTTGAAAAATGAGCAAGGAAACAAACACACTAAGAAACGGAGAATCACTGTGACCTCTCTGTGTCCTATACGCAAGGCAAGCAGCTTCAATAGAGACGAGAGTTTTGACGAAGCTGAGGATGATGATGAGGAAATAGAAGACAGTAATCGTGGCCATAAAAACATCAATGGCGATGCTTCCCTGATCGGAATGGATGAGGAGTCATTAACGGAATTGGTAGAACTGAGCCAAAAAATTGAGACTACGTTATAACTGAGGTGTTATGGCTAATACCCAGTCCCCCTCATAAGGATAAATGAGTTTAGGGAAGATTAAGAACAGGATACTCTTTAATGTCTTTTGTGGATGTTTACTTTTTTTCTTGAGAAAGTTAAGGCCGAGAGGTATCGGGCGTTCCCCCCAATTTGTGGGGCTCCCAAGGAAATGCTCCTGCACATAGGATGTAAATACGTTTAAATAAGTTTTAAGACAAGAATTCGACACAAGGAAGAGGTAATATTGTTTCTGTGTTGAAAACTCTATTAGAGAATTAGTAGCTCATCAAAGGTTTTAAGACTTTAAACACAACCAGTTGCCATTATTTCGCAAAAATCATATTTTCGAATCATTAACAACAACATACAACAACATTGACTTTATTTTTGAAATTGCAGAAATAAAGGCCTTTGTAGCCCGCAGTTAGCAAAGCTAATCTAGGCGGGCTACCTAAACTGACACTGTATAGGCTCATTAGGTTTTTACAGGAGAAAAACGAACGAAATGTTTTAAAAATTTAGCTGAAAAGTTTACAATAATCCACAACTTTTCATGAAAGTTGTGTAAAAAATTCTAATACTCTGCCAAGCGACGATTTGTGCAAGCCTCGTGAATCATGACCTCCTGTCTGGACAGACAGTTTGTTTGAGCTTACACCACAGTTACTTTAGTTAGAATTCATTTTTAACAGATTTATTGAGAGGTGAGATCACTTGAAAAATTATAAAACTTACTAAGTACTGAAAAAAACATGACCATAAATATGCTTTGCATCGTTGTAGAATCAAATTTTTGAAGCAACTTGACAGATCTTCTGAAATGATTATTTTTTGGCAATTCTTTTGGTTGCAATACAGTTTCAATTTATTGTAGGGTTTGGTGTTGTATCAAATTCAACACCATCTAGTTGATAAATACGTCTTTTCTCGTCACCCTATAGGTGGACGTTGCATTCATATTATAAGGAAAAGCTTGGTTTCAATCACTTCTTGAAGCGTCAGGAGTATAGGCAAATACGGTAACTCTTGGCCAAAATCATATGTAATTTATCCAGTGTAAATAGTACTAGAATCTAGGCCTCTGTAAATGCAAATGTATCCCAGCAATATCCAAATGGCTAAAGCTATTTTTTTAACTGTCAAAGAGTAAGCATACACTTATTTCCTTCAGTTGTTACTGAAGTATGTGAGAAAATGATTCTTTCTCTCGTTTAGATTCCCTTATAGACATTTTTTCAATGAAAGGCAAATCAATACGTGTGTTTCAAGATTACCAGATACTTTTCCTCCCGTTGTCGCGGGTTATTGAAATCTCTAACCTTGAAAAAACTGAAAATATTGAAACCTCCATTAAGATTACAATATCTTAACAAAAGTTGTGACTGAAGTTTCTTTCTTTTTTGTTTTTATTATTTTGTAAATACGGTCCCGAGCGCCTATGGATAGATTGTCGTAAAACCAAAACCCGAAAAAAATTACACCGGCCAATCATAGGAAGGGAAAATATCCTGAAGAGCCAATGAGAACTCGGAAGTAAAAACAAGCAAACCGTCTAAAGCGCGGGAAAAAGGCGGGAAATCAAGTTGTGATTGGTGTTAGTTCTACATCTGATTGGTCAAGAGAATGGTGAGTGTTTTCTGGACCAATCACAGAGCAAAGTAAGCAAAACCAATCTAAAAGCTAATCCCAGGTTACTTTCGACTCTAACATGAAATAAAATTGCTCAGTAGTTTGGATAAGCAATCTAACCTTACAGTAACGCATTGTTCTGACTTTACGTCTGGTCACATATCAAACACATGTCAAACATATATTTGTCAATTAATTTTGAAACAGTCTTTTGGGTAAATTGGCAACTTATTGCCCTCCACCCCTATCCCCTCCCTCAACCTCCAGACAATGTATACCTCGTGTAAACATACATGATCTAGTTCATTGTTTATCACCCCTCAAGTAATTCGCACAGCCACATTTTGTGGCTCCATAAGGATTCCCAAAGGTTTGCAAAAGAGGGGTTTGACTGACATTTGAACCTAAGTGACTAAACTGGCCTGCTTTGTGAACGATATGTTTGCTCTTGAATGCTTTAAAAACTTGGCCGAAGTCATGTGAAAAACGCCGGCCGGTACGCCGGAAAACGGTTACCAGGGTGATTGTTCTCCCCTACAGCAGGAAAGTGTGGCGAGACCAAATCGATTCGAATATGCCACGTGTGAGTGCGAATGCTTTTTGAAAACGGAGAAAAAACATACAGTATCGGGATATGCGATACAGCGTAGAGGAGGTCTGAGGTAAGGAAAACAAGATGGGGATCTCGCAGTTGTTTACGGACCGAATCTTGGAACAGCTGGGCTCTATCAGTGCACAAAGGCGGCTGTAACGTGATTTCCTTCTGCGCCTTTCCATATCGCCCGATAAATTTGAGCAGTTCGTTTGTTCTCACCGCATTGATCTTTGCGCTGGATTTTAACTCTCCTACCCCACCCCTTAAGAGTTTGTTGTTATCTACCTTGACCCTCATTTTCGCGTGACAGTGCCTTTTTGTTTTGTTTTGTTTTGTTTTTTAAGGTACAATGTTGTTTAATGTAAAGGTGGACTCAAAAATTAACTTAAAAGATGGTCAAATGCGATATGACACAGAGGTCGATTGAAGTGAGTGTTTATTTTCTAGCAGATTCCCGCCATACCATCTTTTTGGCGCTTGGCCAATTAGGGAAATGTGAGGTTTGATCAGCTAATAAAAATATCGGTTAAAAGTGTCATTTTTTTGGCGATATCAGTTGATTTTATTCTCTCCAGGTAAGCTTATCTTAACGGATACGTAAGTCTGAACCAATCGTAACGATATGTATTTGATGGGAATGAACATTATTATGCAAAGTAGGTGACATTTATGTTGGACGTTTATTATTTGTGCGCTGATACCAGAAATTGTTTGGTGTCAATACGAGTACCCATCGACTGCACTGGTTGTGTTCATCTTCCTCTGGCGTCCTGAAGAACTGTGACCATGTATGGCTTTGTAAACCAAGCTTTGCAAGATTTGGTATTGCGAGAGAGCAGCTTCGGAACTTGGGAAGAAATATTGTATGTATAATGAAACATATTTCGTTTGTTTATTAATTTTTGTTATCAGCTTTGAAGCGCGTAAGCGATGCATCTCGCGCGAAGGGAAAACGGTATTGCTCGTGTATCCATTAATAAAATCCAGAATTTAGCTGAAATGTTATCGATTGCTCTTAATCTTTATCTCCTTAGGAAGAAAGCAAATATCGATTTAGGAGAAACAGGAGAATTCAATCAACGGCGAATATATGATGATCAAAATACATTTGACCTGTTAAGAGTCGCTTCGGAAGTTCTCGGTGAGTTTACATTTTGTACTTGTATTAGCTTACTGTTACGGTCACAGTTGGGTTTCCAATATTACCTGTCTTCGGATCTGTGGTTATATAGATGCCCCTCGATTTCTGAAGAAGCTAAATATCGATAAATGCCGGTCGACGCGTTAGAAATTGCGGTATTATTTGTATTTATTTATGCCTTTGTGGAATGGTTTAGTTCTGAATGTGACAACGAATTAAAAGCAATTGCACGAAATCACCATTTGGCAGTTTCGTTCGCGGATTTAGACAGCAAGTATTTTATAAGCCGATATGACTTCTTATGACAAGTTTTAACTATGTGAAAAATAAAATTTTTAACGTTAACTGGACCGAGGGGCAAATTCATTTTATGTTTATATTTCGTTTTTGTTTCGTGAAGGGCTTGCTTTGCAACTTCATGAACCATAACTGTATAGTACGTATTCTAAAAGTGATTCAGTTAGATTTCGATAAACTCTTTTGACAAAACTTTTAAAAAAGGTCAGCTTTTATTGGTAATGATAAAGAAGTAAGAATCCAGATGAATTCTGCCGTGTGCAAATCAAAAATTAGTCTTACAAAGACTAATACGATCAAGCCTTTAATTCGTTTTGACTGCATCAAGGTACTTTTGCATGCTTGTAAACAATGCCGCAAGTTGCCACAGTACATTGAAAAAATATCATCGAGCAAGAACTTTAGTGCATTATCTCGAAGAGGGATTTGTCTTTCTCTTCCACAACTTAGGTGATAACAATTTTGACAATTGCACCAGATTGATTTTGACACGTCTACAATAGGTTATTCAAATTGACACTGGCATTAACAGCTACTTTAGATGCAAAATACCTTTTGCACACAGGAAAAGACAATCTGTGTTTTTCTGACAGATAATCTTTAAAGGACCTCTTTTAATTGGTTTTGACTCTTATGGCTGCCAAACAACTTATTCTTTTTTCGATTTAAGTGTATTCTTTTTGTTTTAAGGAGCATCAGATACTAAATTAGTAGAGATGTATGACTGACAGCCAAGAGAATTGAGAATGAGATCTTGGCAGTGGATACCTTTGGAATTTGGTTTTTAAATCTGACAATATCCCTTGGATGATACTTTTCTAGTTATCACCTTCTGTATAATACCTTAATTCCTTCTTCCTCCCTCACCCACTCCCCTAGGATTTTAGGTCATTTAATATCCACACAGTGACTCGTACATAAATTTTAGTCAACAAACTTTACTTTTCAAGATAACTAATTTGAAACACCAATCTGTATTAGGGTTATCGCACAATGTGATCTTGGAGAAATTTGGGGAAATATTCTTCGAGTACTGCCAAAACTCTGGCTATGAAAAAATGTTGGACAGTCTTGGAAGCAACCTCAAGGACTTTTTCAACAGTCTGGATGCTCTGCATGAGCATCTGTTGTATATTTTCCCTGGTATGCGGGCACCTTCATTTCACGCCAAAGATAATCCTGATGGCAATGGGTTAGAAATCCTTTATTATTCTGAAAGGTCAGGGCTTGAGTATATGGTTGTGGGTGTTGTGAAAGCAGTGGCAAGAGAGGTTTACAACACCAAGGTGAACATTGAGGTAGCTGTGCCTACAAACCAGGAGAAGACTTGGTCAAAGATTATTGTTACACCTGAGAACTATGAAGATATGATACATCTGAAACAACATGACGAGCAGATTCAAAAGATTGAACAGAAGTTGGAGCTTGTTACATTGGGGTCTCGCATCAGTAGCCAGACTTTCTGCCAAGCATGTCCCTTTCACATTCTCTTTGACAATGAAATGGTTATTTACCAAGCTGGAATTTCGTTGCTGCGAGTTTTACCCTCTATTAAAGTTGGTGAAACTAAAGTGGGTGAAATGTTTGAATGTATTCGTCCACACATTTCGCTGACATTTGATAATATTTTGCAATTTATCAATAAGGTGTATGTTGTTAAAACAAAAGAAGGACTTCTAGACTCTGCTACCTTGACAACAGTTTCTGAAGATGATGTGGGTACCTTGGATTTTCCTACAATGAGATTTCGTGGTCAAATGATGTACCTTCCCGAATGTGATAGCATTATGTTCCTATGTTCTCCAAGTGTTCTCAATTTGGATGGTCTCAATGAAATTGGTATGATTCACTTCACATAAACCCATTAGACTTTGAGCACTCCCTCCTTTTCAGCCAAGTCTGTCAGGGCACAACACTAACTTTTCAACTTACTAGCCAAGTGGCAGGTGACAACTTAGATGTTACAACAATTTCAGTTTGTTTACTAGCCAAACTGGCTGGTGGAAAGCAAAAACCATTAGCCAAAACTGAATTTCTACTAGTCTGTGGCTAGTGTCAAGCCCTGTCAAGCTACTGTTAGTGTCAAGCTACTGTTAGTGTCAAGCCCTGTCTGTCTTTTGAGTTGGTTACATCTCAATTACTTATACAACAGACTTTTTTGAAAAGGAGGGATTGCTCAAGTTCTGTAAACCCATATCCCCCATCATCAAAATATAAATTATCTTCCAAAGTTGTTATACTCTTTTTTTATAGTATTTTAAGTTATTCACCAAGGCTCAGGTTCGCTGAGGGTGAAGACTGCTGTCTACTAAATGAGAAGGAGAATCTTGTTATCATTCTTGTCAAGTAATTTTTAGTGGCATCTGGTCCCCATGACAACCCATGTGAATTCAATTATTGATACTTGTTTTTATTTATGTGATAGGTTTGTACCTCAGTGACATTCCAATTCATGATGCCACAAGGGATCTCATTCTACTCTCTGAACAGCATAATGCAGAATCACGTCTGTCTCAGCGACTTGAGATACTGACTGACAAGCTTCAGCAGACCTCACGTGAACTGCAGCAGGAGCAGCAGCTCACTGATAGACTCCTCTACAGCATCTTACCGTCATCAGTTGCAAATGACCTCAGACTGAAGCGACCAGTGATGGCCAAAAAATATGAGATTGTGACAATTATGTTCAGTGGTATTGTGGATTTTACAAATTATTGTAATCAGAGCAGCGAACCTATGGAAATCGTGGAACTTTTGAATGACACATATATCAGATTTGATGCTCTGGCAGACAAGAACAATGAAGTTTTTAAGGTATAATATTACAATATCAACAACATTCTGGGAGAACAGGCATACTTGCTATTTTAGTTGAAATGTCTCTTTTAAAAAAATAGAGCCAATTTTGGGAAGATGCTACCCTACCCTTAGTATGCGAGAGAACCGGTTAGCAAGTGAGCGAGAGGCTGTTTTGAAGCCCCTGCCATGGTTATTGTATTGTATCATTTTGCGGGACGTGTTGCCTATTTAAAGCACAGAATATGAATAGGTATGAAAGAAATATTATGAAACTAAATGAAAGATGAGAGGACAATCTGAGATGGACCTGTGACCTCATTGAGGAGGCAAAGCAATACTCTGAGTCATTTTATTGCTGGGGAAGGAAAAGTGCTCTTCAGCTCTTTTGGCCACTCTGAAGGAGAGGTGCTGCCCTTGTGGTTGGCAGGCTCAACTCTGGACTAAGAAGCTTGGGTTGAGACCAGGCTAGGTCATCATGCTGTTTTCTTGTGCGACACAATTTCTTCTAAGTGCCTCTCTCCACCCAGGAGTACAACCTGGTTTCTCCAGGAGGAGAGAGGAGCGGGGGACCTGTGATGGACTCTCAAGGACAGATTTGTTCCTTTTGTTTTCTTCTGTGGGCAGCTCTGTTGATGTGTAGTCCTAACCTTACCTTACCTTACTGCACCTTACACTCATTTTACAGGTTGAGACAGTTGGAGACAAATACATGGCTGTGAGTGGCTTACCAACAAAGTGCACAAATCACACTGCAAACATTGCAAATCTTGCTCTTGACATGATCGACATTGTTCAGGAAGTGAATGCACAAGGGAGAAAGATGCAGGTATTAAAAAGTCCTTAAAAGGCTTTAGATTTGATCGTATTAACATGGAATTTGGGCTAAAAAAAATGTAATTATTATTATTTTTTTAAAACAAAAACTATAGTGTGAACTCTGAGAGATGTGCTTTTCCTGTGTTAGATCACAGTTGGCATTCATTCTGGAGAGGTTGTTGCTGGCGTTGTTGGACAGAAGAAACCCCGTTACTGCCTATTTGGAAACACTGTCAACCTGACAAGTCGTACAGAAACTACTGGACTGCGAGGAAAGATAAATGTGACAGAATATGCCTACAGGTGTGTCACTGATTAGGTGAAATGGGTCGAGATGATTTTGTTTTTCCATGACCCTTATGGGCCAACCAACTCATTTGTTGTCTCCAGAGGCCTTACATCCTCCCCCAAGTTTTGGCCATCTTCCTCAGGGATACAACCCCCAGGGAATTTGGCCTTTCACTTCTCCTTCCTTAGTCACCTTCAGAGAAACCACCCCATGGGATACCACCCCAAGGGATACCACCCTTGGGGATTTTGGCCTTTCCCTCCTCCCTCCTCGGTCCCTAATTACTGAATCCACTCCCAGGGATTCCATCCACAGGGATTTGGCCTTTCTCTCCCCCTCCTCAGTCACTAGCTGTAATTATTGAATCCACCCCTCAGGGATCCCCCTCCAAGGGATTCCTTTCACAGGGATTTGGCCTTTCTCTCCCCCTTCTCAGTCACCAGCTGCAATTATTGAATTCACTCCTCAGGGATACCCCTCCCAGGGATTCCATCCACAGGGATTTGGCCTTTCCTGACCCCTTCCTTTGTCAACAGCCATGATTATTGAATTCATAATGAACTGAAATTTGGATGGTAAGTTACATGTTGATGGCAGACAGCAGTGAAAATTGGTCTTTATACCTTGGGAGTGAAGAGGTTATTCATTGATTGCAATTTGTGACTTTGTTTGACTTCAGGTCACTGCTGTGCCAGCCACATGATCACTTTGTGTTCAAAAAGCGAGGACCTGTTACTATGAAGGGAAAACCAGAACCAATGATAACATACATCTTACAGAGGAAGGAACACAGGGACGTGCTTAGGACAGTGACATGCTCAGGGTTGTAGCTACGAAATTATGCCGGTGGCTGAAATTTCAAGTGATGCAGTTCAAAGATAGTGTTAAGTATCAAACAACTGTAGGTGCGCAATGTCAGAAGTACCTGTTGTGCTCTGCCTAGTGATTGCTAGCCAATTGTGCTGGCAGCAGGTGCTTGGGGGGACAACCCTGAATATTAGCATTGTAAAATCATGTACGTAGAAAGAAAATTTCCAATTTATTACATTTAGTCATAATTTAGATAATCAAAATAATCATGAAGGTGGGTGGCAATGTAGACAAGAGGAAAAGGCTCAGTTATTGCATTCAGCTTTTTAGTCTTAATTTTGTTTTGTTGTTCCTTTGTTTGTTTTTAATTGTGAGCACTAAACTTAGAATTAAGATAGCAAACAGTCTACTTTATCAAAATACTAGTCAAGTAAGGAAGAAAGGTCATTTCTGATAGTGGGGGATATGTTGGACAAATGGTTTAGCTGGACTTTGAGCCAGAAATTCAGGTTTAATCCCTGGCAAGATCTGTGGCATGTTCTTGTGCTTGATACTTTACAGTACCTCTTTTTACTTAGAGATGTAAATTAGTTCTGGTGAACTGTCAGGGAAAGGTGATGAAATACTGGAAGGGTTGATGAACCAGTGTTGCATTCAAGGGGATGCTGCACAGATTTGGGTGTACTACTGTGCTTAAGAGCAGACTTTCCGTTAACTTTTATACAATATGAATGATATTAATCAGAAGAAATATTGTGTTTTGTTTTTCCAAGTGAACTTGCTTTTCAGCTTCCAAATTCTCCTATTCTTACCTCTGTTTGCTTACAATAAATTATGTTTCAAATTTTTATTGCCACCTCACCTTATGTGATTAATACATTGTCTTGTCAACAAGATGGGGAAATAGACAATTCTTGTTTGTTTAGGAGCACCATCTGGATATTACAAAATTCTCCTAACTAATCTGGAAAGTAATAATTTAATTTAATTTTAATTGAATTTAGTCCATTTTCACTGCATTATTTGCAGTGGGGAAGGACTAGAAAGGAACATAGGAACCATTTGTGCTAGTCCACCCTCCCACCCATCCCACCCCAGGGGAGGACATCCACCACACAGTAATCTCGTGTGTGGGAAATTAACGTCTCCTACCCCAACCCTGCAGGAGAAAGGACCTCCATTTATTTGTCCCTATCCGAGAAGACTAGAATATCTAACCATTTTTTGACATTAATAATAGCATTAAGTAATAAAATAGCACAGATTAGGTAAATTAATTATGAGAGTTTTTTTGGTCTGAGCTGTTTTGATGGTCCTTGAGCATATTCCATGGCTAATGGTCAGTTGAAATTTTAATGTGTTAGGTGACCCAGCCTCTTAAAAGTACATTAGACAACCGTGCATGTGATTAGAGGACCAGAAGGGGGGGCCCATATTTGAAGGGGCGCCTATTCAAGGGGAGTTCTTATTCGAGGCTTCAGGGTAATTTGATAGTTGGGGATTTGATTGTAAATCATACTTTTATAATAGCTCGGCTTTAGTTTAGGATAAATTAGAGATTTAGCTCTGAAAGAGGTCGGGTAAGGGAAGAAAGCCATTATTAGTTAGCCCTTGCGGTCCCAGAGTGACCAAAAATGAATTTCTCCTTACAATGTCGTTACATTTTCAAGTAGATACACAGGTAATCCAGGCTCACTGTTTGTGTCACATGCACATGGTTAAATAGAGAGAGCATATGGGGCCAAGTTTAGGTCTGGAAATTTGTTTGATAATGGAAATAAAAATCAATGAAACGTACCTGTGCGATTTGTTGTCTTTAATATGTACACGAAGTTTTGTGACACAAGCAGTGAGCCTGGGTTACCTGTGGTAGATAGGTGATGAAAAGTACAAAAACTATCAAACAGATGACATGATTTGCTCCAAAACCAAATCCTCCCATGTAATATTGTAAGAAATGTGTGAAAAAACGAGGTTTTGATCCTTGTAGTGAAAAGGTGAAGCAACAACCTTGTAGTTGTACGTGCGAGAGCGTAGGGCTATGTAAAAATACACAGAATTTGAAGGGAATGAAAAGATAATCCTTATGTACACATGTGAGAAGGATTTCTTACGAATATCTAAAGGTGTTTGTTCTGCGTCATTTTGTAATAAGGACGCTTTTTGCAATAATCTATGTAGTTTTTAACAACGGGTGGGGCATTTTTTAATAACTTGCGCATTTTGTAATGAAGGCGAGCCTCGCAATTTGCCTTATGCGCTGCAGCATTTTGTAATTGTAATCGTCGGTCTATGCAATGCGTGACAACACCTTGACGCAAATTGTAGTAACATCAACTTCGTCACAAAAACATAAAAACAAATAAGAAAAAAATAGTATTGGCCTTACTTGCAAACAAGGGTTAAACTTCACTTCCAATGAAATGGACACCTCAAACAAATTGCCGCAGCCGTTATTACGAAATGCGCAGGGTGTCACAAAGTGCGTTCTCATCACGAAATGTCGCAGAACAGTAGTCTAAAATTATGGATGTACAATCCTGTATTCTTTGTCTTAACCATTTTATTGCTTGAAGAAAAAATAAATCCAAGTCGTCCGCTGAACAAGAGTAACGCGGCAGTGTGAATATGCTCGCAATGGAGCTGGACGCGCATGCTAAAAGTAGCATCTTGTACATACGGTCGGTAGTGGGGTCGTAGGTTACCAAATTTTCCGCCTCTTACTGATAGGCTACCAATTTTTCTAGACTATGGTGTTGCGATGCGCCCTTCGCACGCGTTACGAGCTCCGCTTTCTAATAGCATGGTAGAAATGGACCAATCAAAGTTGTTGAATACTAGCTAGTAAGAGGTAAGCCTAATGGGTTATTAGGTGACGCGTTTCCAGTCAAACTTATCTCCTGTAGAAGACTCTCAATGTCTATATGCAGTCGAAACGTCGCGATTTCCATCGGAAATGATGACATTGTGAGACAAAAGAGCACTGCGTCAGTATAAACGTGGTCACCCCGACGGAAAACCGCAACCGTCAATTCTTAAGATGCTGATTAACCGTAAATAAGTAGACTTAATAGCAAAGAATATTAAAACATGAAAAACGCCATTACTTCATCTTAGAGGAGTCAGCAGAAACTTTGATCCAGTAGCTATGATTTTCCGGGAAATGGCCACGCGACTGAATGAGCTCCCCGCTTGTAGAAAAAGTAAATTTTTATACAGCCCGATATTTAGTGTCATTACTCAAGCGTTGTTACGTGGGCAGTCAGCTAAGTAAGACTGACTTGACGTGAGATTATATAAACTTTATTCATCCTACAACTTCGATGCAATACGCTTTCTTGATAATTTCAAAAAAACTTTTCATTAATTTAACTGGAAAAGCAAAGACTAAAATATATATTTTCTTTGACAGTGAGCCTTGGGTACGAGAGTTGTGATATCCTAGCGTATATAGGGTATCTCTGGATGTGATGCTAAAATTAGAACGATGACTGACAAAATTTAAATGAGCCCTTGCTATTCACTGACTGTACTTGTTTGAATTTTCACCAATAATAAAAAATCAAGACATCCAGTAGATCATAGTGTACTTTAGCCTTAAGTCTGTTTTTTTTTTTCTTTCTTTCGCGTGTCTTATTTGAATATTTATTTGCAATAAATCTTTACGATTGACTCAAATGCTTTGCCGATCTACCCGTGCCGGTTTGGAGAATTCAGATAATATGGTGAGAAAACACTCTCGAGTTTAAAACAGCTGCTTTCAACAGTCGGAAAACAGTCATGAATATTCATGAGAGATAATCAAACTTTTCACCTACTGTTTTAAAGAAGCGCTTTGATGTAAATGTCTCGTAAATAGAAAAACCGTCAGAGAAATTGATTTCTTTTGTTTGGTTGGAGTATCCCACGTTTTTGAGCGTTAAGGGAGTCGGGACAATCGCTTCACGTTTCCAATACAACAGGTATGGAAGGTATCGCTATTATTTTGTCTTTAATGTTTCATCTAAGCACGGGTAGTTCTTTCATATTTGTACAGCCTGTGACTGACCCAAAGACAAGCTTTTATTTATTTCCTTTCTTTGTTCTTTTCTCGAAGCTGATTGGTCCATTTGCAGTCCTGATCACTTGCTCCGCGCATGGCTACTAGGATCTTGCGGAGTCAAGATTCGGTCTCTCTAGCCACATGGCTGAATGGTGAAAAAAAACGGTAAATTTGCCGGATATTTTAGGTTGTTTGCCTTTGGAAGAACGCAGGAAACCTTCGCGGACGCAATCTGAGACTATCTGCTCTTCGTGTGTGGGGTTCAAGGTTGTTCGTCGGCTGAAGGTTGCCTTGTGGAATTGTTTGAAATACGTCGACGTAATAACACGTTCAACTCCGTATTATGACTGAAGTCGAAAGCGTTCCTAAGACGAAACTTGATATCGTGGAGGGCAAAAATCAAGTTAACAACAGTTGTGGACATGTTGAAGAACACGTCAAAGTCGAAAACCATACTGCTGCAGTAGAAGAAAACGATAATTCCAGCGAAAACACAACGCAGAAAGAGGGGAATCGCAATGATCCTATGGAAGCACCTCCCCCGCCAAAAAATCCTTGGACGAGACACTTGAAAAGCAGTGGCGAAAAAGGTAGGGAAGAAAAGGGTTCCTTTACTTCCACTGACTTTCGAGAGAACTCGTTTTGAGTCCTTGTGTGTAAATCTCTTTCAGAAGAAGCTGCGAAACCAACTGTTGTGAAAGCCGCTAAACGCAAAGGCAAGGTAAGTGAAACTCAGGGGTATGGGGTTGGTGCCTAGTTTTGCTTTATGCTCGCAATGAAGCCACAACACAGGTTATACATTTGCTCAGGTGTTGCTTTCTGTTGAATATTTTAGGGTAGCGAATTCACAGATATCACAAATTGGCCAACTCCTGGCGAATCTACGGCTTCCACTAAGGACGGAAAGGTACTACAAATTATAATATCACGACAGCAGGGAGATAAGTAGATGTGCATTTATTCTGTTTCATGTTTAGCCTTGTATATTTACGACGAACTTGCTTTGTTGGATTCGCTGAATGTTTGTTGTTCAAACCTATTTTTTTTTAAAGGCCACTGTTAGCAAGAAAGAAAATGCTGAGAACGAACTGTCCGGCGACGATGAAAACCAGAAAACCACGCCGAAGAAAAAAGGTTTTTGTGATCTAATTACACACGTTTAAAGTGCTCTTTGCAAACATTAGAACATTGTCGCTCTGACCACCGACTAGCTATGCTTTTGTCTTGAGATATTAATGATTTGTATCTTTTGGCTGAAGTAGGGCTTTTTTGGGAGCGTAGAAGTGTTTCAATTTATTCTCTTTTTACTACTGTTCCCAAAATAGACTTCACGTGTTTTGTATTTCGTTTATAGCGTTCAATAACAACGGGAGAAAACAAGTAAGCTAGCATATTCGGCCAATCCTTTTATTCCGGGAAGATATTGTAGGGTTTGACCTTTCACTCCCGAATTTTGTTTTGTTTAAGCTTTGCTCATGTTTTTAATCCATTTTTACAATAATTCAAATATCGCTTTCCGTATGCATACTTTCAATTTATTCATACTTTTTGCTTTCCTTTGTAAACTGTTTTTTTTTTCTTCTTTAATCTGAATATATGTTTTGAATGCTCTTTTATTAATTCCCACCTGATTCTCAATGTCTGTGCAGGCTAATTTTTGTATACACCATAACATACTATCAACAATCTAAAAGTTTAAAATTTGAAACTGACTCTTCCCTAAAACGGTTATGGTCAATGGTTTTACAACCTGATTAGAATAATTTTAATCCATTGTATCAGTGGTTGTATTGTGGTGGCACCAAATTCCAATTATATTAATCTGTTATATTCGTTTCAGTGGTTTGAAATAGTAACAGACCCAATTCTTACTGCAGTTTAGGTTTTGTTACTAAAATTGTTCTGTCCTTTGTATGCTTTCCTTTCTGTTTCAACCTTTTGGAAGTTTGTTATTCCCAGAAGGGTTTTTTTTTATGTACATCTGGCAGTTATGTGGATGGAAGACAGGGTTCGAAATTAACGGTAACCTGTTAACCAATGGTTAGTAATTTTCAACATTTGGTTACTAAAAATGTGTCCAACTAACCCGACATGGTTAGTAAAATTTTCTAACATATTTAAACATTGGTCGACATCAGGACAAAGAGCACGTAGACCCAACTCTCAGAGGAATACTTAGAATACTCAAGTTGTTWAATCAACTTAAACTCTTTTTAGAGAATGTGCTGTAGATGTACTGTTCTTGACTAATCATGGTAAACGAGAAGAAAATAAAATAAGTGCATAATTGTCAACGTTTTAAAGGTCACCATGCAATTTCAGCTACTCTTTAATTTGTCCTAGTCATTATTATCAAAATGTTGAATATTTGAGATATCGTAACTTGTGAGCTTGGATACCAAACTTTATAATTTGGTTAGTAGAAAAGATGTCTACTAACCCCAGGGGTTAGTGCTCCAAAAATTAAATTCTAGCCCTGATGGAAGATACTTTTGGATTGATACAAATGCGTGACAAACTGTTCCAACTGTGAATCACATTTCCATAACAGGAACACCAGTCAGTTGTCAAGATCACCATAGCTTTAAACGCATGTTAAGGATTTTTTTAAGTCTGAGATAAACTGGTTGATGAAGAAATGAAGATGTCAACAATTTTGTCTGTTATTAGATGTAAACAGGGTTACCGTCTACCATCAAAATTACCTGTAAGACACAGTTTATTACCAATGTGTTTGGTGTATTTAAATTACCAGTCAAGGTGGTTTATACCAGGTAAATGTTCAGTTGTCCATGTAATCTGTTGCTGTCATGTGAATAAGTGCAGCTCTCAAAACAGTTAAGTCATCTACTTGTAAAATGTTTTAAGTGTTTTTTTCCCTAGTTTGTGTTAGTTGCAATGTCATTTGTAACTTTATTTAAAGAAAAATGCCTCGGAATTCATATTTATCTGATCGCTCTAAAAGGTGTTCATAAAATTATGGAGCCAACCATATTTTGAAATTTGAAGAGCCATTGTCTTTAGTTATTCTTAAGTTTTACTATAGCATGGGTTCCAACAAGATTTGGTTTCTGGCTGTTTACCACAGCTTTAACACATTGACACCCAAACTGCCCGAGAACGCTTTCCCCCCTACCTCCTCAACTAAGCAGAGTTTTGTCCCCAAACTTCCTCTATTGTTTGGAGATCAGTAAAGCAATCAGAATCTGTCGTTTACGCATATATTTTGATGGCTTTAGAGGGTACTAGAAGGGGCATTATTCTATGCGTCCTCACTAAATGATCAAATTTGAAAATATGGCATCTGCGCGGGTGACCCTCAAAATTTTCAGGTCAGATTTTTTGTTCATTTGCAATTGAGTTAGACCTTGTGGAACTCAGAATGTAAAGTAGCAATGCTCTAGAATACTCTGCTTGGAAAATAATGGATATCTAGGTCTTAAAGGTGACAGAATAAGCTCTCAAGTCAATGACACTACGTTTCTCTAAGGCGATGCGAATGATGGACGTAAAGTGAAAACCAAACTTTCAGACTTCAAGCAGGGTGTAGCAACAATTTTACCATTCAGTGGCCCGGTAAATATTATGTTCAAGTAACAATGTGTTCAAAAAGTATTGTTTCATGGAAGATTTTGTGTCAAATTGAAGTTTTTTCAGAATTTTCAACAGAATGTTGCACAATTTTCTGGCCATGAAGGGAAGTATACAACGATCTAAGCATGATGAATTTTACTGCGTGGGCTTTGTACATGTAAGAAATTCGTACGTTTTTCGCTTATAACAGCAATTCAAAAACTGTTTTGAATAAATCTGTTGTCTCAAAATATTTCTTGGTCATTTTCGTCTTGCTTCCTATTGACAGATTCCATGGAACTTGAGATCTCTTCACTCATGGATAAATTTGCATATTCCCTTTAGAAATATGATCCACATGCCCATTTGTACACATGCAAAAATATTTAGTGATTTTTATCTTTCGTCTTGATTTTTGAGTAAAAACTTAATATGCACCTATCGCTTTGTTCATCGGAAAGAAGTTCTTTAATTAGTCTTTCACTGGAGCTTTTTTTTTGGAAAAGATGATTTTTAAAAAATTACTGCACATTGTTTGCTTTCTTGGTTTCTCCAAAATTTTGACTTTGTAGGCACGTGTTACACGTAGGTGTCAATGGGTTAAACTCTTATGGCTGTCTGATTGGCCTGAAAAGCAGGCTTTGTGTTTGGGTTTTGCTATGCCTTTTTTGGGTACTGCTGCCTATTACATCATCAGCCTTCTCTTCTTGAAACCCCTGCTACTGCAGGTGTTGTCACCTGGAATCTTGCCCAATAGCCTTATGACTCATGGAAGTATCACTCTTTCTTTTCCATTGTTGGTGATGGGATGCTCTTAAGAGCTTCACAGAAGGGTATTCTTATCTAGAGTGATAATTATATTCTCTTTTTGATAACTGAAGAAGTTGTTTGTGAACTGAACTCTTTTTAAATTGGGGCATCTATGATCAAAAGAAAATTTAAGGACTATTTTAGATTGGTCAGGGTACTCTCTTAAGATCACAAGATGCAGCAAGGAGTAAAAATTTTATTTATGCTATTTAGTGGTGGGTAAGAAATTTTGTGGCTTTCAAAGTCTGCTTCTCCTTTAAGAATTCTTGCAATCGTGTGTTTTGTTGAGCATCATTGGCCTATTTCTCTTTAGTTGAAAGCTATCATTGCAGTTTTGCACCATAAGATATTTTGCACATTTATAAGTAACTGGTCCTTTCTTGTTAGAGTCATGTAGCAAACTTTTTGTTTGTTTGTAGTTGTAAGAAGTGCAGAACATTGTGATGTGATGAATTATCAATTCACCAGTACATGTGGTTTGTTCTCTTCTATTAGTTGGTGATTTCCTAGTGTGCTTTTATAATCCAACTTTTTGAACAACTGGTGTTTAATCTCTAAATCTTACCCTGAAAGGAGTAATTTAGTTTTCCTAAAGTTTACTTCCAAGAATGCAAATTTTTGCTCTTTTGAACTTCCATATTTCAGTTTTCATAGGGCATTGTACACATGTTTCTTCTAAATATTGCTTTCAAAAAAGATCCTTCTTTGTAAATTTACACTTGGGGAAAGACAGGAAAACAAGAAAAAAGTAATTAAATAGTTTTTCTATTTCTTGGTTGCCTAGCTGCCAACAATGAAGAGTCTCAACCGTAATGCAGTAAATGGTTTGAACCCCGGGGTAACATGTGAAGGTGTAGTCTGATCGTCCGGGTGAGTGTAGTCCTGAGAAGGACTGTTGTTGGTGGTAGTCACTGACGTTTTGACAACCTGTGCGGAAGTCATCATCAGAGTCAAGTGTGCTTCATGGAAGTCATCATCAGAGTCAAGTGTGACCACTTGACTCTGATGATGACTTCCGCACAGGTTGTCGAAACGTCAGTCACTACCACCGACAACAGTCCTTCTCAGGACTACACTCACCCGGACGATCAGACTACACCTTCACAGTCTCAACAGTCTCTACTTCAATTCATATCAATTGCAAAATAGTACCCGCGTGTACAGCTGTTTAAAGGGACGATATTCTTTACCTAAGGATGGGCCGTAGGAAAATAAAGTTACCGAGTGGAAAGAAGAAATCAGCCCAAAAACAGCAAATAATTCATTATGCAAAGGTTATGGATTTCATTTCACTTTCTTTTGTTTTGCCATCACTGCTGGTAAATAGTTGGCTAGTTTCTGTGATTTTACTGTTTTTGGTATTGAAACTGTGGGTCGTCAACATGAGATCAACTACATAGTTTTCTTTTTGTCTTGTTGATATTTAAGAATTGTTTTTAAAGACAAAAGTAAATGTAGCAATTTGCACCTAAAATAGCCTTATAGAATAAAGAAGCAGCAGTAAATTCACAGCGAGGAAATGTTGCTTGTTAAGGTTAGACCCAGTGATGGCAGTTGAGTGGTTTTTAACCAAGAATAATTGTTCCAAATGATACATTGCATTAGATTTTGCTTTATTCAAGTTTTTCATGGTCAGTGTGACAATAATTCTTGATCAGAGAAGGAGACATTTAACAAGTGTTACATTCTTTGGGTTAGACACCAGAAGCTGATATTGTGTTGCTGTATCATTCATTGCATTGTTCAGGCCCAGTGTGTCTCTGTTTGCCCATTATTTCAGTTCTCCTGCAGACATCTTTATTCCACCCACCATGTGTAATGTAGGAATCTGCTTATTAATAGCAATGGATGTTGTGTTATTCAACACCTGAACTGCCCTATTTTTCATCTTATTATTTCAAGCGATATTATTGTTTATCTTGAAAAAAGTTAAAGAAGGGTATGCTCCTTGATAATATTTCTTTTGTTGTCAAGGATGGTAAAAAAATCTGGTACTTTTGAAGTTGAAAAGTCTTTGTCTTTTCCTAAAATTTTTCTGGACAAAGTGAGTTTTCAGCATTCCGTTATTAAGGCAGATGATTGCAAGCTTAGGGCTAAGACTTCCAGAACATTTTAAACTGGGGAGTCTGTCATTTAACCCTACAAATGGATTTCCTCTCCTCATAAGATGGCTTTTGGACAGCTTTTTAAACATCTTTAATAGTAAACTCAACAAACTCTGGACTTATTCATACTGCTTGGCAATTTATCCCTAGCAAGTTTGAGGGTAGAATCATCAGTTAGTCTCTTTTGTCTCTGGCTTTCAGGTGGAAGACATAGGTGGGTCCCACTGAACTTAGAAGGTGCTGAAAGTGCTTTGGAGAACTCTGCTAATGATTCAGGTGTGGAAAAATCACCCACATCACCCGAGGCCATCTCACCAACAGCTGTTAACCCCAAGTCAACTAAGTCACCCACCACAAGGTTCAGTCCAGGAAATGCACCAGGCAATGTGTCACCTGTGAGAGGAGGCAGGGGGGGACGTGGTGGAGGAAGAGGAGGACGTGGAGGACGAGGACGGCAACGTTCACCAAGAGGTACTGTTTTTGATTTTGTGCTGTGTTTCTTGTTAGTTGAGTGCTGGTTGGATAGCAGGTAGTTACAAAGTTACATGATAACACAAGATTGATGGTTTATTCCTACAAACAATACTGTCTGTGGAAGATTTCTGAAATCTTTTTATACAAAAATGTTCAAAAAGGGGCTGTAGTTTTCAGTTTGGAAAGAAATGAAAGGGTTGCCTAAGTGAAAGGATATTTTGATTCTTGCTTCAGGAACAGCAAGTGACTGATACTTAGAACACTTAAGATAGAGTTCTTTATAACTCTTGAACTTGATCTTGTAGCCTGATTTTTCAAGTGAGTGTATTGCCTAGAAGGACTGTTGTTGGTAGTAGTAACTGATGTTTCAACAACCCCTAGGGGAAGATATCATTAGCATCATTGTCTCTGTTGTTTTTTGGGATGGACAGGTTGTTCCCTCTATTCCTTTTGAAAGTTAATAGCATGGCATTGTCTGAATCTGAATAGGTAAATACTACAGATGAGAATGTGTGTGTGTGTTTTTTTTTTTACTCAGCAAAAGTTTTTCTTGTTGTCTTCAGGGGATGGTAGTCACCAGCAAATGCCTTACAACCCAGCTTACCGCCAGCAGTTTGGCTATCAGATGTACAATGGAACAACTTATTTTGCACAGCCCCAGTACACTGCAAATCAGCCATACAGCACTAGTTTCTATTATCACTCTGGTAACTATATGCCTGCTGCACCTGCAGCAGCAGCTGCTGCTGCTACTGCCACTGCTGTAACTTTGGAGGAGATAACACTCAAGGAATATATCAAGAACCAAATGTAAGTGCAGTTTTGAAAAGGAGGTGTATTAAGTCATGGATTTTGCTGATATGTTGGTGTATAATGTACCTTAACTGAAGTAATTATTTCTTGATTTTTTTGTAGAGAGTATTATTTCAGTGAACAGAATCTTACCAAAGACATCTTCTTGAGACGCCAGGTACAGTAACTTAATAATTTGTTACATATAAACTGAATCAGCTGATTTTTATGGCAACTCACGCTTGTATACTTATTTTTTTTTTGTTATACTCAGATGGACTACGAAGGCTTTATACCTATTGGACTTATTGCAAGCTTCTATAGGGTTCAGGCCCTCACACAGGATGTTAATCTCATTTTAGAGGTTTGTAAACGTAATTTACAATTGTATTCCCCTTAATTAACAAATAGAGAAGCCTTGATTGTCCTGTGTTCTGTTGTTAAAGCATGCAGGAAGCAGCTAGAGCATAAAAGAATAGTAGAAAGAAACCAGAGATGTAGTCGTGTGTTTTTCCCCTCTTCTTGAGTGCTCTAGCAGCTCCCTGAGGGAAATGGTTGGACATAGGACAAAGTGGTAGATGAGATGACAGCTTTAGCTCAGCTCCATGTTTTGTACTCTGATTGAGCATACTTACTTCCCTGACGTTTTATTGTACTTTTGAAGTGCCACTATTTGCAAAATGATTTTTTTTTTACAGGCACTGAGAGGCAGTGAAGCTGTGGAAATAATTGACGGCAAGATAAGGAAGAAGGACAACCCTGCAATATGGGCCATCCCTCCAGACCAACCTGTCACAGGTATTTCATATCTTACTCATTAGGAATGAATTATGTTTTGTTAGAGAATAGATTTAACACTGAGAGAGTGTTTCACTGAATTTGTGATTGGCCAACCGTTGCAAAATGCCTACTGATTCTACAAAGGTTTCTCGAATGCAAGAGTCTTAAGGCAAGTGTCCCAAACATGTTATTGATTATTGTTGGTATTGGTTACTCTCCAGCTGTTTAGAGCTCACAGCTGTTGGCACCTGGACATCAGCTTTTCATAAGATTACCCATTGGGTGGCAAGTTATATTAACTTGTCTAGTTGAATAATAAAAATATGGTTAACTGTATCACAACATTTAAACTAAGGTAGCCACCTAATATGTGCAAATACTGATGTGATTTCAGTTGAAAACACCATTACCCATGTTTATGAGCACATGCCTTCATTGAAGCAACATATCCCAGCAGGTAACACTCAATACAATTGTAGATTTTCAGCATTTTGGTTAAATTTGAATTCAGTGTGAAGGGCAATGTTTTGCTGACAAATGCTTTTCTAAGCAACAGCAAATACCCATTGAATTTTAAGTGTTTAAATTGTTACTCAGAAAGAGACGCACTGTCCTTGACTTCTGTTTGTTATTTTCCTTTTTGAATTAACAAAAAAATCTGGGAATTAAAAGGCATCCTTATAGGTTTCATTTATAGTTTCTAATGTCAATGTAAATTGGAATTTGCAGAGATTGGGGTGCACAACAGCATGGAGATGCAAAAACAAGAACACATAGATGTTGCAGTGGACAGTGAGATGGTTAAACAAGGACAGAATGGATTGGTGTTCATTAACTCAAACAGTAACCCATCTGTCCAAGAGGAGAAACAGAACGACTTGGAATCAAAAGGTGAAACATCCACCAGTTTTCTGTTGCTAAACCAAGCTACCTCCTGCATGTGTACTTTATATAGGTGGAGGTTTCTTCCAAAAATTCCTTCGAGGAATGTTGCTATTTAAAGGGGAACTGAAGCCTAAAAATGAACCATTTTTAAATTGCAGCTTTTAGTTCAAATAGCAATGTTTGAGGGGTTTTTTCAGTCTTTGGGCCCAACTTTGCCTTGGAAAAATAGTTCAAAGTGGTATTTTGGCCTCGTAGTACAGCGGCTCAGAATAGGGATGTCAGCAGTCATTTTAGATCCCTCTTATATCATGGGTGGGGAAGAAAGATAATAAACCCATACTCTTCGTACAGAAAATTGGCTTGGTTATGGAGTTATCGAAGTTGCGTGACTTTTAATGGGGATTAACTACGAAAATGAAATAGTAACAGTTGTTTTTCTTAAGTTGGTTCCCCACCACTGACATAAATGATCGCTGCTGACCTATTTTGAGCCAAGGGTCTTACAGCCCCAAAAGCGGGAAAAAGGCAGCTACAAATCGAATTTCCTCGTAAAAAAACAAGAAGTGAACGAAAATGAATATTGACACTTTATCTTACTCCTCTAAAGCTAACTAGAAATGAATGCAAACAATATACCAATTTTAGGCTTCAGTTTTCCTTTAAGAATTTATTTTGTACTTTTTGTATTGGAAGCTTAGTAATTTTTGTTATTTAGTTTTAGAAACAAATAAGCATGATCCTGAAGCTTGGACAGAGGTAAAAAGACGCAAACCATCTTCATCAAAGTCAGTGGATACTAAGGTTAGTAGATTGTAAAACAGTCTCGTGAAATTGTCTTGCAGTCAAGGTTTGAATTTCCCTAAACAAGTTAAAGCTGGATAAAGAATTTATGAGTATGTCATCAAGATGCCAACTTTTAAGGAACTAAAAAAAGTAAAGAAGCTTCTGGTACAATTTAAGTTGTATGACTAAGCATATGGGTTGCAGTTTTTTTTACATCGTTTACAGTAGTTGTATGTTGTTTGCTAGTCTTTGATTGGTATTGGGCATTAAGGTTCTTAAAGTAAATAACAACCCCAAAGAGGCATATTCTTAGACAAGAAATAACAGCTTTCTAGATGTCCTACTGAAATAAGGTGGATTTCATCCCCTTAGGTGAGTTTTGCCAATGACCAAGAAGAGCTAGACTTCCAGTTTGATGAAGAACTAGAACACCAAGGCAAACAGCCTACAATATGCTCCTCTGATTGGTAAGTAATCTCTTTAAGGACAATGTGCGTGTCTGCTCGTTAACCATGTACTTGATTCCTGGTAAAACTTGGCTGTTGACTGAGCCAAAAAAAAAGATGATTGTTTGGGTTGAGTTGGTGCATATCAACAGTTTTTTTTTTGTGGAGAGCCTTGTCAAGTGTGACCTAACTTTAACTTAATACCTGAGTTTTGAGTTCATTCAATTATGAGAAGCAAACCTTGTTGACTTATATTTTTCTATTGAATAAATGTTTTGCCTTATTTCCAAAGATCCTAGTGAAAAAAGAATAAAATGACATTTTGTGCCAGTTATCTCCCAGCTCCTAAGATCAGATTGTGAATTCACCACTCTAGCTGCTACACGTTTCCTTGTAAACTAATTGCCAGAATTTAGAGTTAGATCAAGATCAAGCTAACAGCTTAGATCTGCTACAGTATTCTCCTCACCTGTCTACTGGATAATGTATGCTTGTTATAGAGAGAAGTTACATGTTCATCACCCTTCAACTCCCATGAGTGACCAAGAGAGAATTTCTCCTTAAAATATCAACACAATATCAAGCAGTCAAGTGATGAGAATAAATAAGAATATCAGTTAGGGAATTATTAGTTGTTCCAGCTCCAAATTCTCTGAACTAACATCATAAGAATTGTATGGCAGACAGGAAGGAGAGTTACTAATGAGATTCTGATTGGTCAATTTAGCGTCCCCCATTTTGCCCATGGGTGTATGCTGCTGACGTGAGCAAATGCAAAGACTATTTTTCTGTGCGCGTTTGTTTTTTCTGGTCATGTAAGATTTGTTAAATAAAAGGGAAATCTTTAGCTACAATGTATCAATGTTATGTTATAAAACAAATGGTAAACACCACAGCATACACTATTGAGTTATGGATGCACTTGGGAGGTTTGCTAAGCACTCAAGAAGCTAGAGTCGCTCTTGGCTATCGCCTTGAGTGACTCTTGTGCTTCTTTTGTGCTTAGTAACCTCCCGTGTGCACCATAACTGTATGCAGTGGTGTTTAACTTTAATTTTGTTAATTAATTTTGTTAATTAATTTTGTTAATTGGTAGTGAAAGGGTTAATGACTTCTTGGAGTTTAAGGGTTATACTAAATGAATGATATATTTTTTATCAGGGATGATGATTCGGATGACGAAATTGATGATCAAGATATACACAAAATAATGATTGTGACGCAGACGCCACCTCCTGTTAAGAAACATGACAGGACAGGAAACTATGTCACTAGAGTTAAAATGACGCAGGAACTCTCCAAAGCTATTAATGATGGCCTGTATTACTATGAGCAGGTATGGAGCCTTTTTAGAGTTCATAGTGGGAGGATTCAAAATCCAGCTTGCTATTTGAAATGAATAAAATCTAGCCCTGTAGGAGTTGATAACTTTTATAATATTTGATCCACTGAAGGAGAGCATTATAGTTCACTGAAATTTTGAACTATTTGGGAATCTCTTTGCAGGATCTTTGGGATGACAGTGATGATAGTTACCTAAATAGAAAGGTAAGGTGTTTTTTTTTCAGTAGGCACAAAAAAATGTGTGGATAATCCCATCCTCTTCAATTGTTGAATTGTACATCAAATAAGTTGACATGAGTGACATATTATTTGAGTTTTTGCCTTCCTTTGCTGTCCACAGATGGTCCTGTCTTCATCAATGAAACGTGTAGAACTGGTCAGTCAAGACAAATTTAACACACAGCGTGATGCCCTGGAACCTCAGAGAGCTCGCTCATTCACAGAGGCAGAGTTCCCTCCACCCAGTCCTCCTGTGACAGCAGTTCCTCATGCCACATTATCACCATCGGCTGAAGTGTTCCGTCCACGAGCAAACACTGCCCCCTCTGAACCTGTGTCCAGGTCTCTCCCCACCACTGTACCTGAGTCTCCTACTCAAGAAAACCGCCATGGATCTCGCACTCCCAAGAGGAAGGATGTGAAAGTAGCACCAAGGTTTTTTCCTGCATTCAGCAAAGAGAATCTCAGTGACCAGGTGGGTGAAATCAAGAGCTGATTTTGATTTTCTCTTATAACAGTTTTTGTTATTTAAACATTACTAAAGGTAACTGGACATTTTGCACAAGTCTTTACGCACAAGTTTTGGACTGTTTGCACAATTCCTGGTAGTCATTTCACACAATTGTAAGCGAGAAATATCAATATACTAATTCATACTGATAAGGTATTTCACCTTCACACGTCACTTTTGATAAGATCCAACTGTGAGAACATCGATATTAGCTGGTTTACTAACTTAGAACAGACTCCCCTAAACATATGTCAACAACTACCCGCTCCATATAAACGACTCATTCACGACATAAACATCACAAACGACCGAAAAAGAACCACCTAACTTTACCGACAGATCGAAACAGACCAATCACGACCGACTTACGTCACTTGAGTCTTACAGCAAATAACATCACGGCAAAACCAACCGATCATTTCACACGAACTGGAATAAGAACATTCTACTGACAACAATCATTCACTTGACTCTGATGATGACTTCCGCACAGGTTGTCAAAAGGTCAGTCACTACCACTGACAACAGTCCTTCTCAGGACTACACTCACCCGGACGATCAGACTACACCTTCACATCGATATTTATTTACACAATAACTTCAACTAAATCGAAACGCTTGTGAACATGATCATTATTCTTAAAGAAAAGAACAAATCTTTCTCTCTATGAAAATGTAAAGAACCCTCTATTCGAATGAATACTTCTATTACTTTTCCTTCATTAAATGAAAAACTTTTTAGTTTTGACAGTACATCATCACTTCAATCATTGATGACCCATGCTAAGGACGCCATGTTGATTTCGAAAGTAATTGTCACCAGTCCTCCGTCCTTGTTCCATCCCCTTCAAAGCGAATGTTTGATGCCCAAGGGTTTTAGATAAGCTTTTGAAAATTTAATTATTATATCTTCGTTATATAATGATAGTTAGGTATAATATGTAGAGCAAAAACAGTTCAACATTAATAACTCCGATTTTCAGGAGTGCCTCACATCGAGTGTTGGCACGTGCAAGTGTTGTGATTTGACGACTTGAACATGTCATTGTGGGTAGAAACTGGTGATCTGGTGGAAAGACAAGTTTGATAATGTAATCTTTTTAAAGATTGTAAAGTCAAGTAGTAACCTTTCAAATTATTCTTATCACTATTCCTTTAGGCGATAGAGTTCAGTATCGATTGATAAGCAATATTTAGTGTGTAATAATTATATTATAGCATTTACACAATAATTTTGTAAAGAGGTCTTAAGTACTTTTAACAAAGTGAAACAGTTTACAGGTTTTTACTATGACTACAGAGGAGGGAGGACTGGTGACAATTACTTTCGAAATCAACATGGCGTCCTTAGCGTGGGTCATCGATGTTTGCATGTTTGTAGTTGATGATTTACTGTCAAAACTAAAATGTTTTTCATTTAACAAAGGAAAAGTAATAGAAGTAATCGTTCGAGTAAGGAGTTCCTTACATTTTCATAGAAAGAAAGATTTGTCCCTTTCTTCAATTTACAATAGTGATCGTGTTCACGAGTGTTGTGATTTAGTAGAAGTTATTAAGTAAATAAATATCTATGTTCTCATCGTTGGATCTTATGATTTAAAAGGGACATGTGAAGGTGAATTATCTTATCAGCATCAGTTAGAATGCCTTTTATATTGATGTTTCTCACTTATAATTATCGTGCGAAGTGACTATTAAAAATTTTGCATATGGTCCAAAACTTGTGCGAAAAGACTTGTGCAAAAAGTCTTTTGTGCAAATTGTCCTGTATTCTTAGTGAAGCTTTCAACAAGTTTTTGATACTGATTGAGTTTATTTTGTTTCAAAAGGAAATTGGAAACTCTTAAAAAAAAGTGCAGTTGGGACTTGACATGTACATGGCAGTCTAAATCCCACAGGGATCAACGAACGCTTTTCATACCACTAATTCGTTTTTTTCTCGTTGCCATGTTCCCACCAATAACATAGCTCCATTTTCTGCCTTTAAAAGCACACACAACCCACAATTACTCTATTCACTCCGACGAAGGGTTAACGCTCAAAACATGAGCTTTTGTAATCGTTACGGTGGCAATTTACCATTTCAACTTTGTTGATATATCCAAATTATATTGACATGTACATGCTGATACAGAGTTTGTTAAGCACAAGGCCAAATTTAAAACTTGCATTTTAAACCCTAGAATAGGTTTGGTGTCATGTGATTTTTACATTTTACTTTTATACAAAAAGTGGCTTGACGATTATAATATATTTACAATTATCCTTTGCAACTTTCTCATCAGGGTCCAAAGAAAAGAAAGACAAAGTACAGTCAGAACCCACCTGTTGAACAGCATGTTGGTTGGGTTATGGGAAGCCGGGATTATCCGCCACCAAGAAGGTCTGAAAAGCTTGTTATCTGCTCAAGGATGATGTGTTGATTTGTAGGCAAATTTTTGGTGATATCAAAATTTTGCATGGAGGAGGGTGGCAAGGAAAATATATAATTTTTGAATAACATAGCACACTTGTTGAGCTATTGTTCTTCTTACTAAATCTACTGTATTGCCATGCTTTGTTGCCGTTGTTGTCATGTTCTGCTTAAGATCCCTTTTTGTGTTGCAAGGTGTACTCAGACACTGTGGAATGGACTTCAAGAAAAAATAAAGCATATGCCATACATGTAGTCTTACAGCCATAAGATGTGTGGGTTTGATATTATTATTATTATTATTATTTTAAATATTTTTTAAGCAAGCTTGTGTTTGTCTGTCTGATATTTTTCAGTCCAAGCCTCAGTGTGTCTGAGGGTATGACTCCTGTGGTTGGAAGTTATGGGTCAGCACCTCAGCCAATCCCACGCTTTCAGCATCCTTCACATGAACTTCTCCAAGACAATGGCTTTACCCAACAACTGTACTTTAAATATCACTCCAAGTGTCTAAAAGGTTTGTCACTGTTGTAAAAATGGTGAATCATTAAAACCACTCTGATACCAAGTTGCCTTTATAACCTTTTCTCTTACTTGCAGAGAGAAAGAAGGTGGGAATTGGACAGTCTCAAGAAATGAACACCTTGTTTAGATTCTGGTCATTTTTCCTGAGATCACATTTTAATAGGTGAGTGCATGAATTTGGACAACTTGTTGTGGTTCTCTCGTTATTAATGTATGGAATAAATGTTCAATCTTCCAGGACAATGTACAAAGAGTTCAAAATGCTGGCAGTAGAGGATGCTGCAGCTGGTTACAGGTATGATGTAGAAACTTTTTATAATTTTCTTTTCAGAATCACAGCTTTGTTTTTTTCTCTCTTTTTTTCGTGGTGTGATGATATCCCAATGATCGCAACATCGATCAACTGTATGTGTGCTGAATGTTGCGAGGGAAAAACTTCTTATACTTTTTAACAGGAATTCTCTTACTCAGTACCCGTTACTTTCTCTTGTGTTAAATATGAAATTCAGAAGGCAAAGAAAGTTGACTCTAATAGGTGACTGGTAATTGTGTATTAACCAATCACTATAAAGTCCAGCACATGGGAGCAAACCTCAAACCTTCAAATTTGTGGACATGAATGGTTTGATACTGAGGGTAGTATTTGATCATGTAGTTGGAATTGTCCAGGGGACCATATGTCAAAGGTCCTGGTAACTTAATGGGCCCGTAAAGCTTTTTATTTCCTTTTTTTTTTATTTTTTTTATCAAGATGGGTTTTAAAAACTTTTGAACATTATTCATAAAGTTCTCCACTAAAAAATTAAATAGACTGGTTCTAGGGTCTATAAATTTGATTTGATTCTTCAGGCTTTTAAGTTAAAGGGACCTAGCAAATGCAAAGGCATCCCTGGTGAGGGTAATTCCAAGACGGAGTGTCATTGGTAGTAGTGACTTGCATTTCAACAACCCCAGTGAAAGTCATCATCATAGTTATGGAGATGGTGAAAGCATCAGTTACTGTTTGTGCTTAACTTTTGCAACACTTGGTGGGCTTGTTCTGTGAAATGCAAAAACGTTGCAAAGTATTCATCTCACTGCATCTCCTTTTAGGTATGGTCTGGAGTGCCTCTTCAGATTTTTTAGCTATGGCCTTGAAAAGAAGTTCAAGCCTGACTTGTTCAAAGATTTCCAGACAGAAACGTTAAGAGATCATAACCAAGGTATGTAATTTTCAGTCAGTGACTATGCAGGTGTTTCACCATGATGTAAAAATGATAAGAAAGATGGTAAAGCTTGAGTTGAGCAATTGAATGATGCAAGCTGTTCTTTATTTTATCACAAAGCTGTTACAAATTAAAAAGAAAACTGACTCTCCCACCTGTGACAGCCTGGCTGGCTTTCTGATTTCTTGTTGCTCAGCAGTTGAGCATCCTGCTGCAAAATCGTGTTCACCAAGTAAAATCTTTGTATATTTCACAGTGATGTTCTCAAACTTGTACCACAATAACGTTGAGTTAAATATGTATTTTTCTTTTTCTTTCAGGGAATCTTTATGGTTTAGAGAAGTTTTGGGCGTTCCTCAAATATTACAAAGTGAGTTTGTAGACTTTTTCTCACAATTTTTGTTTGTTCACCCAGGGTGGATATTTCTGTAATTTGCAAGCATTGGTTAGACTTGTCTGAAAGGCGATGAAATAGGTCAAGAAAGGGAGTCTTTTGCTGTCTAATGTCTGCTGATCCTTGAAAATGGAAAAAAGGTTCAGAAAGAAATTTTGTGTATGGTTACTCTGCCGCTGATATGTTTGGTTTTATTTTCAGGGCAAAGTAAGATTTGAAATTGATCCAGACCTTCAAAAACGCCTGGATAAGTACAAGACAATAGATGACTTCAGGAATGATGTAAGTTAATTGTAGTTTAGCAGTCTTGTGCTTTTCAGTGGTAACTGGTTAAATTTATGGCCGGTACGCTGCAGTACCTCTTAGAATGGCTTAAAATCGTTGTTATTCTTGAAGAACTAACAGCTAAAGGGATTGCACTACCAGTTAAAATTTTTTTACCTGTCATGCTTAAATTAAGGGGGAACTCTGCAGTTGTGGGGTACAGTTAATCCTGAAAAGAACAGAACTGTTAGTGGTGGCTATTACTGGTGTTTTGACAGAGTTTGTTTAAGAAGTTAACTGTAAAGTAAGGAGATATTTTTTAATACATGACCAACAACTCCATGCTTGAATGTGATGATGACTTCTGGGGTTGTTAAAGTGTTTGTCACTTCAGAACTTTCCAGACAAGGCTACACCCTTTCACTCCCTAGATATCAGTCCAGTTGATATATTCTTCAATTCTTGTCAGTTTTCTGCTTGATATTGTATTGTATTATTGAATCATTCGTGTGAGTTACAGGGTTAATGATTTACTGTATTCAAGTAGTTATTTGAAGAGACCTGATCATGTTTTCTTTCCTTTTCCCATAGCCAATGAATCAGTTCCCAGTTGACCCGCACAGCAACAAACCACGGTCACGGCATAATTCACACAGTGACAAACATGACCATCTTCCTACCAGTAGCAGGGAAGAGCAGAGAACAACTATAGAGGAAGAAAGAAGGGGAAAGGAAGAGCAGAAGAATATTAAAGAGGAGAAGAAGAGTCATAAAAGCTCTGAAAGCAGTGATTCGAGAAGGAAGAGTGCAGAACGCAAAGTTGAAAATACTACTGAAAATGCAACCTCAGAATCTGCAGGTGCTAAAGCAGGTCTAGTTAAAGCCACTTCCGGGAAATCCTCGTCTGCGAAAAGTACTTCTGGAAAATCAACAACTGGTTCGGGAGCTTCCGGGGAAAGAACAAATGTTAGCAAACGGGAGAGCTCTCAGAAAGGATCTGTAGCCACTGATAAAGTGGCAGCCTCTTAGGGCGGAAAAACAAACTATCAAGACTTTAGTAAAGCAATTGACTTCATTCTAATTTAATACCATAAAAAAAAGTTAAAAGATGAAAACACCAAAAAAAAAAGTACATGGAAATCTTACTAGTGGACCGGTATCTGTCCCACTTCCGGTTGTGATTGGTGACAAGGCGCGTCCTGAAAACAATTGAGTTATTTACAAGTCAAGACAACTGCTGCTTGAGAAGTGAAGAAGGTGGAATGTGTTTTCAAGAAATGGCGTTGATGTACCTTAGTAGCAGTGCTATATTATCTTGGCATGTTGTAGACTTAACCAAGGATACCATTGGGGAATGATTATGAACTGAATTTTAAAACACATTCATTTACTATAGCAAGAACGACAACCTTCCTGGTTAGGAAAGTGCGGAATGGTATTTCCGTCTACGTCAATCATTCAAAAGATACCTGCACGAATTGAATATACTCTGTGGAGTAAGTATTCAAAGTACTTCAGTCATCCTGGCTCAGAGACGAAGCTGTTATTTAACAGGAACAAATTTAACTTCATTTTAAATTGCCTCCCAAGTTTTCATTCACTCCTTCGTTCCGATGGTTATCATTCGGCATTCACTCTCAACTTGGTCAGGTTCGAAGATATAGATACCTGATTATCTAAGGAAAATATCTTTTCCAAGCACTGTTAAGATGATGATCCCACTAGAGCAACTGAGGGATTTCCTCAAACGCTAGAAAAGTATTAAATTATTTTTATCATTGTCAAGGTGAGTTAAACTGTCGGTGTTATTATTTTGGTTGAACATAGAGAAAATTTATTGAATTTACATAGTGTGAAAATTGCGCAAAAGAAACCAATTTTGAATTTTAAGTGTTTCTATAGGGCAAAGCTTTCCAATCTCTTCTCTCGCACATCAGTTTAAGGCTTAGGTGTTCTTTCTTATCGTTAGACTTCGTTCGGGAGAGGGTACTTGCAGACAATGAAAGACAGGAGAGATTTCTTTTGCAAGGAAAAACTTCGGGGCACAAGAGTTCTAAGTTAGCTGTGTTTTTCGAAGGGGTCTTTCAGAAGTAGACGGCTTCTGAGCCTTTATTATGGCATTGTGGTTTGGATTGTTGATTCGACAGAGCTAGGAGTTTAGAATAAGGAAAAGTTTTAGGATTGTTTTTGGTTAGATGGGTGAGGTGGTTGGTTAAGTGGGAGAAGAGGAAAACTTAAGTTCGATCTAAGAATTAAATGAAATGTTGTGGACCTTTGAAGTTTTCCTCACGGAAGATTATATGAATTTGAATAAGCTGGCCTTAGTATCAAACGGAACTTTTGAGGTGAACATAGTCTGTAGTTATTGCGAAACTCAGAATCACTGCTTTAGAAAATTAATGAATTTACTGGGAAAATTACCAAGGTGATTTTTTCAAGTGAATAGCAGAAATAATCCGAAGTCATATACCTTGCTAAGGAAATGTCAATTTCTCTATGCGTTGTCTAGGTACTATCAAATTCTGGTTCCGTATCGTGGTTCGAATCGTGAAAAATTGCGTTTCCGGGAACGTCACTAGTAGCCTGGGAAAAAAAGGAACGATGGAAGGAATGCGTTTGAAACGCAGTTAGCTTGTTGCAATAAGGGTTTTTTTGGTAAAAGAATCGAGTTGACCACCAAGTCTTTTGTCTTTTAACTGTGATCTAAATTATCTTACAAGGTCTACCCACTGAAACAATATGGTGGTATGATTTAACTGTACATAGAGATTTCTAAGTTATTATAATCGCCCAATATATCTTTATTCAAAAGTTATCCTGGTGTTGAACAAAATATAGAAGCTTTTGTCGCCGGCAGTTTATAATTAGAAATTACCTTGCAGTTTACAATAATTGTTAAGATTTCTTTTTGTGACAAGGTAAATTAAAAGTAAAGTTGATTCTAAAGCGCGTTACACCTTCACAAACATTCGTGTATCATGAGCTTATGTCTGTAGTTTCAAAGGTGTGATTCTAGTAGTTTGTAGCATTGTAAAGTTGTCAGTTTCGCGCTTGAGGAAAGAAATTTGGTCGGTTAAGTTTAGTTTTGAGCAAGAGCAGAGAACAGTATAATTTTGGAAATTGAAAAATTCAAACTGTCAATCAGAAGAGCAGGGCCTCGACACTAGCTTTTCAACTTACTAGCCAAGTGGCTGGTAATAACATGGATGTTACAACAATTTCAGTTTTTTTACAAACTAAACTGGCAACTGAAAATCGAAAACCACTAGCCAAAACTGATTTACTACTAGTCTGTGGCTAGTTGGTTATCGTTGTGCCGAGCCCTGAAGAGACTTGCCCTTTTGGGCGAAAACGTCGTAGGCCTGAGCGCTTCCGAGCTCGTGCGCTATCCTTATTGGATTACCAGTTTTGGAGACTGTCGGCCGTCTTACGAGGACCTCGAAGAGTTTTTTTTTCTCTGGTTGTATTGACATGATAGCTTACTGTGTGACCAACTTGGGTGAATTGAATTAGGTTATTTATCGCGTTTTACTACCCGACAATTAGTAGAGAATTTTAAAGGACTGCTAACTTATTTAGTGGCACCATTTGTAGCTTCTTTTAAACTGTGAGCACTCTCTTAAGTGGATCAAAGACAAGTGTAAACAAAGCCTCGTGATGGGTGACCAAAGGACCCCGTCACACCATGTCTGGCTCTGCGAACACTGGTCTTCGATTGACCTGGAAAGTTTGGTCGCAGTGAAGGCTCGTTGATGTGCAGTTCTTGGTATTAATATTACTGTGAGGGTTCATTATGTTTAAGTAGTGGTAGTTGTACAATGGTAATCACCTAAAAAAAAAAATCAAATAAATCTATTTTAAAACAACATTTCAAGGCATTAACCCGTTTGATCTAACTCTAATACCTTTTTATTGAAGGATATTAGCAAGTTTTAACCAGTCCACCTTCCCTTTCTGTTCAATGTTACATTATCCTTAAAACTTGGTTGCATTACTTAAAATTTTGTTGAATTATGGAGAAAGAAGTCGATGGGTCCTGTCGGGATTATAATACTGCCCACATTTGAAGCACAAAGCCATTCTTGTGGGCATTATTTTTTAGTTATCAATATTAATCATTTTAATAGTTAAGGCTTCACAAACGAGATCGGTTTCATTTTGGTCCTACGATTGATTGAAATTCGTATAACACTATCCACTGAGAACGACCGTTTGGGACCCCCTCCCCGTTTCCTGTAGAGGACCTTTCTTCCATACCATAAATATTGACACAATACACAACAACATAGTTTGACCGTATATTTCATTGATAATTTAACGTTCACTCCACTCATTCTCGAGCTCATAAACTTACGACATATATTCGTAAATAAATAGACTGCAAATTACAGTGAAATACCGTGCAGCTCCATAGCAATCAATTCTTAAGGCAGTCAAATCACGAATTCACCAGCAAGCTAACAAATTCGATCAAGAATCTCCTTGGCTCTTGTTTTTGTTGAGTTTGAAATTGTTCTAAGATTTGAAGCCCAATCCAATCAGGTGGGAGAAAAACGTTCCCCCCGCGAATTGTTTTCCCGCGCTTTCCTAAGCTTGGATATTTGTGTCCTAGGACTGGTTCACAAAGGGTGCTATATAAGCTGTTACTTACAAGACGTAGCGTCACTGGTTTAACTTTGCGACGGTCACAAATACAATAGTTAGATTGAAAATAAAAAAAACATGCACAAAAACCAAGTTCAAACATTGAACTTAAGATAAACCAAAAGGTTTCGGTAAATCAAAAATCTATCCAATTCTCTTTGTTGGAGCAATTTTCAATTGAGCATTCAGAAGTATCTCGAGATTGCTTTGTGTTTGCTTTACTTCGCCCTGTGACTGGTCGAGAAAATTCGGACCACTTTCAACGAATCGGATGCAAAACTAAATCCAATCACGATTTGGTTGCCCGCGTTTTCCCGCCCTGTAGACAGTTGGCTTGTTTTTACCTCGAGTTCTCATTGGCTCTCAAGTTATTTTCCTTTCCTCTGATTGGTCGTTGTAATTACTTTGGTTTTGGTTCTACGATACTCGATCGAAAAGCGCTCTTTTACCAAAATGAATATTAAAACTTTCAGACAAAATCCCACAAAACCTTGCGTTTCTTACTAGCTTGATCATAAACCTTCATTACTGAAGATTCGGTGCATTGTGAGCTCAGAGTCTTCATAATTGTTTAAAAATCTGAAAATATTAAATCTCAAACACGCTTCTCGTCACTTCGATTACAAACAAATGTTCAACTAGAGAAATACCAAATAAACTCGACTTTAAAAATCTAATAATTTTGATGAGCAATATCCCATATCCACACCTTCAATATTAAGAGACGGATGACTTCGTCCGCGGATGCAACGAATTTCTTTTCACAATGAATTTTAATTTCAGGTCCATAGATCTCAAAATTGATCTCAATACACGCTAGAATATATACAAAATTTTCAAACCATGGTCCGTTCTTCCTGTAAACCATAGCAACCGTCAACATATTGTTCAACCTTCTTTCCTCTCATTTGTCCCTTTATGTAAATTTCCTGAACTGAAGTCACATCGACGCTGACGTCCCAAAGATTCCTTAAGGCTCCACATATCACACGCAAGTCTCGCTTTTCAGATTTTGATGTTGGTTACTTTTAGTTTCCACGTAAGTTGGTCTAGGTTTCGGAGTATACGTGCGAAATTTGGGTGCTTTATTTTCATTCACACCCGTTGACGATTTAGGTCTCGGGCGGCGATCCAGTAACATCGGTTGCTCGCTTTCCGAAACAGACGAACCACCTGCCTCGATTTGAAATCGAGTCATAAGTGGCACCCAGGGGCAGTCCCCTTGGTCGAAAGTTGAGCTGTCTTCGATAGACGGTGGAGGTGGTGGGAAGTCGTTTGAATCACGACTAAAACGTTTTATATCCTTGTCTTCTTTCGTTGGTTCGGGGATCAACGGATCCGAAGCCTGCGCAAACGGTTCAGGTTCGCTGTCCGAATCAACCGGCGGGCTCTTCTTTAAAAATTTGGGGCGATGTTCAATAGCGACAATATCCGAAGCAGAGTGAGGTCGTATCACATGGCTAGGCTCCGGAAGAGAATTTTTTCGTGTTGATGGAGAAAGACTAGGCGCAGATTTCTCGTTATGGAAATCTGTGGAAACCGATTGTGAAATTGGCAATCGACCTGAACCAGAACTACTTGTGCTACTTCCTGAAGAACTATTGCTTCGTTTGACGGCCACAGCAGACTTCACCGGTCCGTTCCTGTTTAGCGTTAGAACAATGGGGGCAGGACGACCAACCTCTCCGCTATCTTCCGTGTCAAAGAAGAGAGAATTCTTTGAAGATTTGCGCTCCTGGACAGGCTCTGTTAGCTTTAGACTCTCACATGTGCATTCCATGACTGGAGCAGTATTAATTGCTTTTCCATGTGCGTTCGATGCACCTGGCTGAACTAAAAAAATATCATTCTCAACGTCCGAACGTTCGCGCTGGTCTTCTGATTCACTAAACGTGATCAAATCGGTACCGCTGAGGGGAGGGGCAGGGAGCTCATCGTCATCATCGTCATCGTCCTCGAACGCCGCAGGAAGATGAGGCTGGGGTGGGAGGTTAATGTCGTCCTCCAGAGAAATAAGAACACTGTCTTCCTTAATTTTAATCTGATTCAAGCCGACACCAGAGCTTTTAGCTCTTTCATCTTCATCGCCATCGGATAACTCATTCATTCTCGTTACGCTTTCATCCTTTTCAAGTTCTGTCTCCGCCGTGTTAACCGTTTCCCCGTTATTGTCTTCCTCTTCGCTGTCCGGCGCCGACGGAGGCTGCAATACTATGTCCGGGGTTTTCGATAAATGATACTCTTGTGGAGCTTGTTCCGCTGAATCTGCGCTGCTCCTCCCAGGGGCGACCAGCGGATTGGCGTGATCCCATGCGCCTGAAGAATTCAACAAGAGAACACACAAAAAGAAATTGAGTGGCAACGAGTCTTAGAGACACATATCACTTAACATGAATATAATTGCGTATTCTCCTATTTTGTGTTGAGCAATAACTAAAAAAAATTAGTATAGGCAATAACATGATTTTAAGTGCAGTTTGGTGTTAATAAGCACGTGTAAAGTTTTCAAAGACAACAAAATTGCACGAGCCAGTAGGGCGAGTGCAATTTGTAGTCTGAAAAATCTACACGATTGAGCGGAGCTCTGGGTGTAATGATCATGCGCAAGACTCAATCTTCCCAGTGCCTCTCTCCATCCTGAGTGTAGATGGGAACCAGCGAATTTCAAGGGAGGGGGGGAGGGTTAACTAAGATGAACTACGATGCCTGGACGGCGGAGTGCAGCGATACTTTTGGTTGCTTTCTGCTGCGGAAATAAGAAGAAGCTCCAGCGACGTAAACTTTACCTAAACAGCATGCATGCGGCTAACTATCTAACCTGAAGACGTCTTGAGCAGCTGGCAATTCATCTCTCCTGGGCTTACACATCTGTTACTCAAGTGACTGGAAGAAATGAGCGAGTCGAGTTCAGATGAATACACTGGGGACACTTGAGTGAACACAAAATGAAAGTGACTGTAATGTTCACAAATGAAGGTGAGACGTAAGAGAACGATATAGCACTTCTTGCACAAGTTGCCAAGATGGAGCGAGACTTTCACGAAGAAAGGCGCAAAAGCTGCGTTTTGCCAGCAAGCCCGGAAAAAATATTGCTGTTATGGGTTTAGCATGCATGACACCCACTGGTGGTCCTCCTTCAAGGGTTATCGGAAATTTCTGCTCACCAACCGCAAGCTCCGCAAGCCCCACATCTCTGGTTGCTTAACAAAGTAGGACCCGGAGGAAACGAGCCCCGAGCACAGAACGAAAATTCTCCCTAACCCCCATCCTCCCAGCCCCCCTCACCCCTCCCCCGCCTCCTTACCATGGAATCCACAGTTGCAATGAACTAGATCTCCTTTAGAACGAAGATCCCATGAAATGAATGGAACTCCAGCCCCCCTCTCTGACACTCCCCACCCTAACGTTACCCAGTGAGGACCCGTTCCCATTGCCATGGTGCAAGCGGATACCGTACCATTGTAGGTACTAATGTCGTGGAAACAAAATAACAAACGACGTGTTAAAAATTGCCACAAAAGAGAAATGCTGTACAGTGAAAATCAAATTAGTTCAAGAAACAAAAGAGATGATATAATTGTACAGGTGTCACTAACCACGTACTGCATTCTTGATTTGGACTTCTAGCCGTTAGTATCCATGCACGAAACAGTTGCCAATCACCGAACGTCATTCCCATGATGTGGCTGAGTTCAGTCAAGTCGCAAGATGCCAGAACTTTACCATTGATGTTATTTTCTGTTACGACCGCCTGATAAGTGGATATCTGCTTTTGGTCCAAACCCTCCATTTCAGCGAGCTAAAGAGCGAGAAATAAATAACGATGAAGACAAAGCCTACAAGCAAAGAAGATTTCTGGCTCATCAAGCGGGAGCTTGTTCCGGTTTTATAACCTTAAACCTTTAACTTTCACGAGTGACCATCACAGACAATATTATTACGAGCAGACAAGTGATGAGTATAAAGAAAAATATCAATGAGGGAATTATTAGTTGATCCAATACTAAGGGGAATTATTAATGAGATCTGGGAGCGATAGGGATAGGTAAGCCCGGGCTAGAACCCAGACTTCTCCATCCGCACGAAAACAGCGAAGTGACCATTTAGCCACTGCGATACCCAGCAAAAGAGAAAAAAACAACTGACAACACAGTCAGGTTAGGCAAATTCTCATGTAATTTCAGCTCTCACATTGTAACAACAGCACCGTCCTCCCTACCTGTTTGCAAACATTTTCGATAGTTAAAGTGGGTAAGCTTGTTCGCTTGTCAGATCTTCCTATGGCGCCGACCTGAAGAAAACAAAGTCATGCTCATCAGAGGAATTTCCAGGATTTAACTTTTCACTTATGATTTAATGTTCACTGGGCATTGCAGCGCGCAAAATTGAACTGTAGAAATAGGCTGGACAGATAAAATACCTAAGTGCAGCTTGACATTACTGCTGAAACCAACTCGACAATCTTACGACTAACACTCACCACTAACAGTCACGACTAACAGTCACCACTAACAGTCACGACTAACACTCACCACTAACAGTCACGACTAACACTCACCACTAACAGTCACCACTAACAGTCACTACTAACAGTCACTACTAACAGTCACTACTA